CTTTCATACATACTTAATCCCAAATTCACTACAAAAATTTTACATTCCATAGTTATTTTATAAATTAATAGAAAATTTCATAAAATATTATTATACATTATAGTTATAATAAATTGTTTTAATATTTTTTACGATGAATGATACTTTCATAAAAAAAATTAATATCTTATAATTGCACTTAAATTTATTTTCATTACAATAATTTTATATTAAATTACTACAAATGTCATTAAATAATATTATACTATAATTTATACTAAATTTTATTAATATATGCTTATGATAAATGATAATTTCATACAAATTATAATATATTATAAATACATTTAAGTTCCATTTGCACTACTACAAAATATACTTTCTACGTCGTCATTTAATGTCGGTTATAGTTGAGACGACGTAGAAAGTACTTTCCACGTCGGTTCCAGATGAACCGACGTAGAAAGTACTTTCCACGTCGGTTCCAGATGAACCGACGTTGAAAGTTGAATAGTAAACATATTCTACGTCGGTTCTTAGTCAACCGACGTAGAAAGTACTTTTTACGTCGGTTCCCATATGAATCGACGTTGAAAGTCTTTTTTTTTTTTTTTACTTATTGACACTTTTCACGTCGGTTCCCATATGAACCGACGTGGAAAGTCCTTTTTTATTTTTTTCACCCAAAAATTCACTTAAATTTGACAATTGTCACCTGTCGGGATTCGAACTCGGGATTTTAGAATTGGAAACTAATACTCTAACCACTAAACTATTATAATTTCCCGATAATAACTTACAAATAAATTATATTTATATACAAATAAATATATATCCATGTAAATATATATTTATTTGTATATATTTTCTGGAAAGTATTTTTATTTTTTTTCAGCCAAAAATTCACTTAAGTTAATGAATTGTCATTGACAAGCATTTGAACCCAGTATTTTAGGGTTGTAAGTTAATATCCCAACCACTAAACTACTATAATTTTTTTATAATAACTTACAAATAAATTATATTGGTATTTTTTGACCGAGGGTGAAAGTGTGATTGACTCTCGCTTGAGTGAAAATATGTTAAAGCTCACGGAAAGTCACTCACTCAAGTCTCGCTTGAGCGAAAATTGGTATTTTTCGCTTGAGAGCGAATAACGCGTTTCCCAAATTTATTTTATATTATTATATAAATAAAATTATAAATATTATATTATGTCATTAAATTACAAACTCATATAAAGATACCTGCTCACAAATTTAGCATCAAATTTTGAAAACCTACTCGACACACACTTTCACTTTCGAGTGTGCCCTCACATTCAACATATAAATATATAACTATATAAATATATCAAAATATATAAATATATTTGTATTTATATATTTATATATTTACACGGATATATATTTATTTGTATATAAATATAATTTATTTGTAAGTTATTATCAAAAAATTCCAAGTAGTTTAGTGGTTGGAGTATCAGCCTCCAACTCTAAAGTACTTGGGTTCGAATCCTGCCAATGACAATTCTCTTAAAAAATTAATAAACTTCTAAAAAATATAATATAAAGAGATGGAGGACGTAATAAAAATTAAATATAAAGAGAGGGGAGACTTCTAAATAAATAAAGGGGTAAAGGGGTTGTAAATAAATAAAAATTATTAATTTAAAAAATTATACTTTCATTAGAACCGAAGCGTTGAAAGTCCAGTAACTTTCAACGTCGGTTAACCGACGTTGAAAGCCTTCCGAACCGACGTTGAAGGCTTTATTTGTAGTAGTGTTGATTACAATATTTTGTATATTAAATTCATAATAATTTCATAAAATAATATTATAGTACATTTTATATTAATTGTTTTTACGATTTCATAAGTGATAATTTCAAACAAAATTTAATATATTATTTATAAACTTAAATTTTATTTTATTGTAATATTTTATCATTAAATTAATGCTAATTTTATATAATAATAATAATTCTTACCTACATTTTATATTATATTATTTTAAAATATATTTATGATAAACGATAATTTTTCATCAAATATTTGATGTTATAATTATACCTAAATTTAATTTTTATGTTAAATAATTATATTATGAAAATACTAATATAAGTTTTTATATATATAAACATAACAAAATATATTTTTTAACTCTATAAAAATTACATAATAGTAATTCTATAAAAAATAATATAACTAGTTTTACACTTAAAACCTACTCCAATATAACCTAATACAACCTAATTTATAAACTTAAATTAAATCATTCAACATTAATCCACGCATCTATATTATTTTCACTTATATATTGAAGATCTATACAAGAAGCACAAGGGACCAACACCATCAATAGTACCACAAACCAACACCAACGATAGCACCATAGACCAACACCAAAGACAGCACTACGACCACCACATCACACGGAGACCACCAAGGATAACACCATTCTACCAGAGTGACCACATCAATGCACAAACACCACACACATCATCAATCTGCCATAAGTAATTTCAGCTCACACAATGAATGACACTCGATCCCCACACGAATAATATCACAAACAAAAATCAGAGCACAAATCATATAGGACAGAAAATTGATTCTCTTTCAAATAATAAATGTGACCGATAATAAATTTTGATAAAAAAAGAATTGATTCTAGCCATCAAGAATCGATTTTCAGTAAAGGAAGAATTGATTCACCTTTGATAATGATTATCAAGAATCAATTATTCTTAAATTAACTTCATCGAGAATCGATTTTGTGGGTATCAAGAATCGATTCTTTGTAACGATTTTCACCCATAATCGATTTTCTATAAGAGAATCGATTATCTGACACCAAAGCACACGCGAATGACATCCAACACTGCAAAGGCACAAACAAACCAACAATTCCCAACACTTAGCTTCACAAACGAACCAACCAAGTTTCCTTTAAATGAATTGGAGGAAGCACAACTCTCAAAACTTAAACACACTAGTGAACCAATCCATTGACTGGTTTTTAATGGTGCTTTCAAAGTTTCAGCTACCAAGGTCAATAGTGCATGTGTCAGGAATCTTCATTGTGCCTTGGTCAATGCATGTGCATGGCATGGTACCTAAATATTGGGTTGATGAAAATAATACATATTAAAAAATCTCATATCATATTAGATAAATAATAGAATGAGTGATTTTAGCTATATAATAGACTTAAAGTCCATAATATTTTGACATCTCAGTTAACAATATTTTAAGTATATATTTGACTTTTCTTAAACTCTTGTAGTAGAGTATTGTCGGGTTTGGTTTAAATTCTTGTTTTGGAGAATGTGAGCATATTTGGGATCAAAGGACATAAGAAATTAGCATGTGTTGTAAAAATTTTCATATAATGTTATTTTCTGATTATCATATTACAATCGTGTTTTTTTCTCTGGCTTTGGAGATTCCACATTATATTCTTATGTTGATTGTTTTGTTTTTATTTTTCCATTAGTAAGGTAATTCTCGGAGATAAAGATGATGATTTTCTTTATGATGTTTTTGTCCATCAGAGTGGTATTAGAGCTTATGATTTAGTAGGTTAGCTTAGTATGCTATGTGATTGTAGTTTAGTCTGATCTTCAATACCAGACAAAATTTCTTGTATTAGATAATTATGTTTGGTTACTGAAGATGCAATGTCATTTGTAAGTGCTGTCAAATGTGACATAAAAAAATTGATGGATGGAAGGATCAATTTTGTCTTATGGCAAATTCAAATCAAAGATGTACTGATACAAACTGGATCACACAAGGTGTTAACATTTATGCAAGTATGCAATAGTATTGACTAATATTGATGTGTGTGATTAATATATACAAGTATTGGTTAACATTGATGCAGGTGTGCAATGAAAGGAAATTCTTGAAATAGTTTAATTTCAAGTGAGTATACTCTTTATGGTGGAGTATGAATGATTCCTAGTGAAGTATGGATGATTGTTGGTATAGACAATGAAGATAAAAAGGAATATGTGTTTATTTTAATCATGATGGAGATTATTGCCTTGATGAAAATAATACATCTTGAAAAGTTTCACATTACATTGGATAAACAATGAAATGAGTGATAGTAGTTATATAATGGACTTAAAGTCCATGATGTTTTGACACCGCAGTAAAAAATACTTTAAATATATATTTGACTTTTCTTATACTCTTGCAGTAAAATATTGTGAAATTTAGTTTAAATTCTTACTTTAGAGAATGTGGGTCTATTTGGAGTCAAAGGGTACGGGAGAGTAGTGTGAATTGTAAATTTTGTTTATATAATATTATTCTCTAATTATTATTAAATAATGATTGTGGTTCTTTGTTGAAGTTTTCACGTTATATTTTTCTATGAATTATTTTTTTATTAGTACGATAATTTCTAGGAATAAAAACGATAATGTTTCTACGTTTTTTTCCATCAACACATTGTTATTAAATCTTATGCACAATGGAAATATGTGAAAGTTAATTCGAAAAAGGAGGGGAAATTGATTCAGAAAAGGAAGGGTATGTGTGTGAGGTGAGATGTCATGTCGATATCATACACACACGAGATGAAGTGTCTTTCTCATCTCATCTCCTCGTCCCACTAAGGATCTTTCATCTATTCTCTCCGTGAAATTTGTGCTTTCAAATCTATTCATATCATTATAAACAATAACAAAACCTACTCATTTTTCTATATACATAAATAATATATCACTCCATAGGAAACATCATAAGTAATCACCCATTATCACAATGGGAGACCCATATTCAATGAGTATAAAAATTTGCAAGCCTTTATTTCATTCCCAAGAAATGTATTTTTTTTTCCTTATGCGGATGTTTCCAAATAACATGAAAAAAAGGTCTTTGTTGAGACCAAGTCAAAGTTTCAAATTTTGCATAATACCGTTAAAGCTTCCGTAAACTCTTATTCTCCCACCACAAAACTCTCACTAAGCTCATTTGTCTTGTCACTTCCACTTTAAAGTGACAAATTAAACATTAACAACCTGTTTGAGGAAGGACTCAGAAGCATATGAAAAACAAGGATGGAAGGTAACACCACTTTTTCCAAGCATCAAAGCAACTAAAACACATCTGAAAATACATGAAAAAGGATAAACAGACTGAGAGAGAGGGGGGATATATTACAGGCTTCCTCTCCCTATCTAGTAAGCATACATAGTTTGGCCTTCTCCATGTCTTTCCGTTATTTACAATATTGTTGTTGTGTTATTTTTTTACACAGAATAATGCTGCTGGATTGTGTCAATGTCCAAACCTTTCAGCTTCACCACAGACTCAACATGTCCCTTAAGTGTGAAGCTCACGAAGCCTGAAAAGGGTAGGTGAAAAAGAGACAAATTTTATGTCTTAGTTCCACTACAACACTTCCTCTGACTAGAACAAGTACTGAATCAAGTGTGCAGTTATTTATATTATAATTTTTGAGAGGATTTGGCTAGTCTCAAATAAGGGTATAAAGTAAGTATTCTTAGTGGTTGATAAAAAAAAATTAACAGTTGATATTTCAATAATTCATGCCAGAATTTTTCTATAATGAACTCAAGGACAGTAAAAAATGAAATTGAAGAGATGTTTAGAGTGCATTTGTTTAAGATATTATCCAAAAACAAATTGCTAAAGAAATTACTTCTGAAATAAGTTGGCATATTTGGTTAAGCTTTTACTTATTTACACATTCTTAAAATCAATTTTATTTTCTTTAAATAAATGGGTCAAACCTCTTTAGGATCAGCAAACATTCCAATAATGGCAGCATGTATGGCATCCTGGTTTTCAGTTCTGGCAGCCTGGCAGCTAGAAGGATCACATGATCCTTGTCCACGCCCTTGGCAATGACCTCAACTAAGTTCTTGTCAACAGTGAGTTTGTTGAGGGTGAGTGTTCCTGTTTTGTCACTGCAAAGGACATCCATGCCTGCCATTTCTTCTATGGCAGTCATTCTCTTGGTGATGGCTCCTTGCTGAGAGAGCTTGTGAGAACCAATGGCCATTGTCACAGACAACACGTAGACATAGCAATGGGGATACCTCCAATCAAGAGCACCAACAGGTTGTCAATTCCATCCCTGTACTTGCGGTGCTGAATTGGGTACATCACTATGATCTCAGTTAGCATACCAACAGCAATGGAACAGATGCAGAAGTTCCCAATGGCTGTAAGAACCTTCTGGAAATGTCCAACTTGGTTGGTGCTAGTGTGCTGCCTTTCCAAAGAATGTGTGCACACCAGTTGCAATCACAACGGCTTCAATTTCTCCTTGTTTGCAAGTTGAGCCAGAGAACACTTCTTGCCCTGGATGCTTAGTAACTGGAAGAGACTCCCCAGTCAGAGCGATTTGGCTAGTCTCAAGTAAGGGTATAAAGTAAGTATTCTTAGTCTTAGCTTAACAAAAAATAAATAAATTTTTTTTGTTGATATTTCAATGTCCAAACCTTTCAGCTTCACCACAGCCTCCACTTGTCCCTTGTGTGAAGCTCATGAAGCCTGAAAAGGGTAGGTGATGAAAAGAGACAAATTTTATGTGTTAGTTCCGTTACAAGACTTTGTCTAATCTAACAAGTAATGAATCACTTGTACAGTTATTTATATTGTAATAATTGAGAGGATTTGGCTAGTCTCAATTAAGGGTATAAAATAAGTATTCTTAGTGTTTGATTAAAAGAAAAAACTGTAGATATGTCATGTTGAAATTTACTAATTTTTTTATTTTATTATACAGATTATATATTATTTTATTAAGATTGGTATAATTGTAAAATACTAAAGGTTCTTAATAATCTAATTATGCACAATTTTGTATTTTATAAATATGTTGTTACATGTTCTATTTATATCAAATCATAAATATATTTTAATTTATATTTTTAAATTGATAATTGAGCATGAAACATGTTTTATTTATATCAAATCATAAATATATTTTAATTTATATTTTTAAATTGATAATTGAGCCATGAAAAAAAAATTAGATCTCAAATTCTTTAAAATATCTAATTGGAAAAAGGAAATTTGATATATATGGAATGGAATTAATTCATTCTATTTAAAAGAGTTTTCAATTTTTTTGGAAACACAACTATAAGCTCTTTATTGTTAAACAAAATGTATCTATATCAGAAAAATTTATAAATAATCCTAATAAAATTGTTAATATTATTTATATTATTAATATTAAAGCTAAAAATCCTATGACATTTGATCATAAAAATATCACTCAAACAAATTAAATTATGTACACAAAAATATGTTTTTACTACAATTGAAAATCAAACTCAAATGATTGATAAAATATTTGTAAATCTTATTAGTATTGTAAATCTTGATTTGTTAGGTAATTTAAGTATGATTCTAAGTTTCATATTGTTGAGTAAGAATGAGGAAGTTAAACAACATATAAGAAAGTATGACTCATAATCCAATGTTTTAAGATTTTCGGTTATTGGGTTGAGAGTGGTGTCAATCTCTTAAGTGAGTTTGACTCAAATCCCATTAGAAGGAGAGGATACTTAGATATGATAAAAGAAAATTACCTCCTAATTTATTTAAAAAAAAAAACATGATCTTTCTAGTTTTAATTGTGATGTTTGTAAACTAACAAAAAGTCATAAAACTTTATTTTCATTAATTTTAAATAAAAGTCATCAACCTTTTAAGGTGACATTCTTACGTATGAGATTTATCTAAAATTCAAAACTTGATAAATCTTGTTAGTTTGTTACTTTTAGTGATGATTATACAATAATTACTTATTTATAATTAATGAAATAAAAAATAAGATAAATTTATTTTTAAAACTTTTTTATAAAATAATAAGAACTTAATATAATACTCAAATTCAAATTTTGTACAATGATAATGGTGGAGTGTATAAAAATTGTGAACTTCCATCATATTTAAAAGTTAATGAAATTATTAATCAAACTAATTGACTCAATATTTTTCAATAAAATGGGATTGTTGAGACAAAAAAATCAATATTTATTAGAAATTGTTTGAGCTTTATTGATTGAGGCACACATGCTATTAATGTTATTGGAAAGAAAATTTTACTTCAGGAGTATATTTCATAAATCACGCTCCCTCAAGTTTTATTGAGTTTTAAGACACATTTTCAAATCTTTCATAATTTAATTATCACTCTAATATTTCATAATATTTACCCTCTTATGTATTTGGATATGTTGCATTTGTTCATCTTCATAAGTATCAATGCAACAAGTTGGCCTCATAAATTTGTTTTCATTGGATATGTTGTACATAAAAAATAATATAGGTGTTATCATCATCCTACTAATCACATATATAACAAAAAATGTGATATTTCTATAATGACACAATATATTTTTCTTTTTAGTCTGATTTCTATGGTAGAAACCAACAACAAATCTAGGAAATCCAAACATTAGAGTTTAAAATTGATACTCTAAAGTATAATTTAGATCTAAGTGATGCAATTTCATATCATCACCCCTTAAGAGATGAAACAAAAGAAATTAATATTGGACCATCACAAGAATCTTGTAGAGTTGAGATTCAAGTTTCGTATGAATTTCGTATTGAAGATAACATTGAAGTTCTATATGAATATGTTACTAGAGATAATATTAAAGTCCTTCATGAACCTTTTAATGATGATTTTACCAATAATTTGTTTACCACAAAACAATTATCAAATTGTATTACTAGAGGTATTCCTAAACCTATTTATAAACCTGAACTCTATGACGATATTTAGATATCATCAAAGTAATTCAAATTATACTTTATTTTTAAGAAACAAGAAGTTAAGATTACTATAATTATTATATATGTGAATGTTACGATGGTTATAGAAAATGATATAGAGGACAATAAAAAGTTACAAGAGTATTATATGAAAAATTTGAAATAAATTATCTTCATCTTTTAAAATATTTTCTAAAGATTGAAGTATTTAGATTAAGTAAAGAATTTTTTTTCCTCAAAAAAATATGTCTTAAACTTGTTAAAAAAAGGTATATTAGCTTGTAAACTAATGAATAATACACCAATGAAGAAAAGTTTGAAATTATCTATTATATCAAATTAAGTCTCACTTAACAAACAAAAATACAAAAAACTTATAGAAAAATTGATGTACTTAGTACACATAAAACCACTTGTCTACACCGTGTTGTCGAGTGTTGTCAATCAATTTATGTATAATCCTCGTGAACAACATATAAATGTAATTATGAACAATTTAAGATATTTAATGTCAACAGTGACAAATGATTATTATTCATAAAAAATATAAATTATCAACATATAAATATATATACTATATCAATATATATACTGATAATTATTGGATTGAAATATTAGAAGATAAATAATCAATACAAAACTATCTTTGATTTAATTTATTTAGAAGACGAATTAGTTAATATCTTGTCAAATTATGTATATAAGATTTATATACATCAAAGGAAAGGAATATTAAGATTTATTTTTCTTTTATTTTCCTTATAAAATGATATCATTGTACATATATATATTTTATTTATTAAAATTTGTATAATTATAAAATATTATAATTTTCTAATAACTTAGACACAAATTTATATAAATAAATTATACATATTCTACTCTATAATATATTTTCCCTTATATTTTGAAGTTTTCATAAGATGATTAGTTATGCACGTGCATGCAATGTTGATCATATAAAAGCTAGGAAATGTGGTAGCTTACCCTGTAACTTCAACACTTCTCGTGAGCACTTCAGCAAGCTCGTACAGTTCTCTAAAATTTGTCCCATAGCTGAAATTTGAAGTTTCCGGTGATTGAAATCCATTCCAGAACCTCTTAAGAAGACTCCATTCAGTTTTCCTCTTAATCTTACTACACATATCCCAACATTTTTTATTTCCACACCACACTTCATTAAATATCCTTTGTATAGGACACCTCCAGGTTGACTTTTTATGTATAAATGATTCCACATTTGCAGGTTTCTTGTCATTTCCAAATTTTCCTTTAACCAAGGTTTTATCCAACCTGGTCAACACAACATCGACAATATTTTTAAGTAACTCCGCGTCATCCCTAGCAAGGAGAAGACAACGTCGGTAACTCACTGTAATCTCTTAAAGAAATAAGATATAGACATTGAAACATACAAATGGATTAGGTGAATATAGAATTTAACCACTGTATATTCAATGGATCATCAGGGCATGGTTGATATCATCGTAGATTCATAGTTTGCTGAACAGATTAGTTCTTCATAATTTCTTCATCAGCCAGCGACTCTTTTCTTTTTCTTTCATGGTTTTTGTTCAGTTATTCTACTTTTCATTTTTGCAGGTTATTCTTTTTCTTAGATTTTTAATAGCTATAATACTATTAATTATACTATAAAAATATTGTATTCTACTCTCACTTTGTTATCTTATCTTAGAAGATTTAAATGCGAAGGTGATTTAGTTTCACTGCATTGCAGGACCAATTTGATTTGAGCATAGTATTTCAATTCAATTTGAGTTAAATCTTTCAAAACAAGATATCAGACATATTCTGCATGCATTTGGATATTGTTACGAGTCTAAGATTTAATTTTGCTCAACAAATTTAATATAGTATTAAAAGTATTTGAATTCTGGGCACTTTTAAATTCACCTGATGAATTTTGAGTAGTGTTAGAGGTTAAGTTTTGTAAATATTTCACTCAGTAAAATATTAATTTATCCAATGAAATTTTGATAGAAACAGAACACTAAAATTGTCCCATAATCTATTCAACCATCAAATTTCATTCAACAAACTTTAAATTTGTTCAACTATTTTCAGATAATCATAAAAAATAAGTCTGAATTTCAAATTTAACATTCCATATATGTAAATTAAAGACCTAAAAACAAAGAATCCAATAAAATAAGAATTAGTAAAAAATATATTTATATAGAAAATTATGGTTAAAATAATAAGTAGATACCAAATAAAAAAATATATATTTTTATTGTAAAGTAAGAAATTGTATCTATTTGACTTAAGATGTTAAATACATGTTACTAAAAAGAAATATGGTGTGTTGAATGTTATTTTGTATAATGAAAAATTTTATGTTTTGATACGAGAATTACCGAGCTATCTTTATGTGTATAGTATTATATATATATATATATATATATATATATATATATATATATATATAAATATTGATTTGAGACTTAATGATGAAATATCTTGACTCTATTAATAATTGAAATCACATAAATGACATAATTTGGTGGTGACAATTGAAAAAGATTTCTAATGATTTAATCTATGATAGGGAAAAAAAATAATTATGTCTTAATAAATCATTTAAACAATTTATTCTTATCACAGGTGTGGGTCCCTTGTATTAAACACGTGAGAAGTTCTTGTGTGACAAATACAAATATCTAATCTTTAATTCAATACCTAGTCTTGCATGACTCTTTGTTAGTAGGTCATTATGGGTCTAATGTTATCTTTGAAAACTAAGATTTGTATGGTATTATTTTATTTCATAATTATATTTTATATGCTTAAAATGAACTACCAATGTATTGTTTTGGATTGTAATAATAATGTGTTTATACAGATTATTCAAATAATAAATTTCAATGAAAATAATAAATTTCAATGAAAGTAGATTTAGAGTTAGGAGTAAAATGTTTTTTTTTTTACTTTACTGAAGATATATCTATAATCATAATAATAAAAATTGTGACATGATTCGTGAAATCCGTCACCTCATTTTTTAATGTCATCCCTTAAATACCGATATGTTACTTTTGCATCATAGAACATAATATATATACAATAATAATCAAGGACTTTATTGTCTTCGTCAACATCTTCTACATGTAAAATCTAAATGGGTTTGTAATTTTTCAAAACAAAAGCTTGTTTAATCCCATTCAGAAATATCAAATTGGAAGGGAGCCACTAATAAAAAGATTTTTCTAATTTATAAATTATTAAATTTTTTTCATTTTTATTTAATATAGATCTTCGAATTTACAATTTAATTCTCAATAACAAATAATAAATTAATAGATTATATAGATTATAATCTTTATAAATTAATTGTGATTAATTCACAATTATCCAAAATTGATTTTTTATAATAAATTAAGAAAATTTCTAAAAGATTTAAAGTGAATTAATCATAATTAATTCATAGATATCATAATCTACACATATATACACATTGATCATACTTTTATCCTCGTTATCTATAATTAGTTATAATTAATTCATAAATATCATAATCTTCATTTATATTAACCACAGATTAAATTCTTCGTCTGCAATATTCATGATAAAGATCCTACGTAATAAATATATACTATAACGGGGAAAATAAAAAATCTAAGTCATTTTTACTGTGAATGTCAGATATTAGCTGTTGCAATAAAAAATTATATTTGTATAATATTTATCATTAAATATTTTTTTCATTAAACTATTTTGTAAGGTAATAAATATATAGTGGGAAAAGAGGTTACCGAAATTTTGATGACTGAATTCCTGCTAAGAGTGTGGATTTATTCATGGCATGTCTCCAGATTGGGACCTTCCTCTCATATTTGATTTCATGTTCGTCAAATGCATTCTTGTAACTCCCCAATTGATCTCTTACATCTTTGGGTTCTATGCAATAGAAAACAGGGATTACAATCTGTCCATCTTTCTCTCTGCATTCAATAATTTTCACCACTTCATCTAGACACCAATGAGAAGAAGCATAGCCTTGTGAGAATATGATCAATGAAATGGATGATCCTTCGATTGCTTCAACAAGTGATGGCCATATTTCTTCTCCCCTCTCAATTTCATCATCAACAAACACTTTTATATTCTTACTTTTGAAACCCTCAACCAAATGACTAAGAAACACTCGTCTGATGTCCTCCCCATGAAAGCTAACAAAAACATCGTACTTTCTTTCTCCAACTTTCTTCTTTGACATGAGGTTTTCCTCTACATCCTTTGTTTTTTTGGAATAACAGAAACAAAAGCAACACAGAAATAAACGAGAGACAAAGAAATACAGTTTATTCAGAAGTACATAACTTGATGAACATAAAATATGGCCTTGCTTTGGAGCATGTCCAGGGTGAATCTTTCTTTGTCTTTACACCGGAATATGTATGTAAAAGCTTGAACAAAGTACGGCACTGAAAAAAAAAAGTTAATTAGAAATGAATTGAAAAAAAAAATGAGAATTTATACACAGAAACTTGATATATATCTACAAGAAGTTGAAATAAGGAAGAACAAATACATGATCGACACCAGTTTAATTCTTCTGGAATAAACCTTGGCTCTTTTCTTCTTTGTTTTGTTCTTGGCCACAAATGAATAATATATAGCAAAGTGATTCTTTAGTTGTTTGGGTCGGTTGTTGGAAACTTATCTTGCCGGCTTTGCAATTTGAGAAGAAATTTCATGAAAAGTACCAAAAAATGATGAATGTTTGGTTTAAAGGTTTCAATATTTGCATCCAAACTGAAAAACATGTGTGGGTGGATTGGTTTTAACTAGGATTAGTCACTGTTTGACAAGTCGTTCCAAACAAATATCTTCTAAATAAGTTTTAGACATAAAAATGATTGTTATATCATTATTTTATTGAATTATTTATATATCATCATTCTTTCATCACAAAGTAAATACATTTGTGTTTGTATCATATATTATGCTACTATAATTTTTTGTTGGTTGTTCTTGGTGCATGGATGTATCCGTATACTGATTATTCAATTTTATTTCATTTCAATTTCTGCACTATATTTTATTTAATAAAAAAAATTGTGTGATAAGAAGGTTTTGTCCCAGAGACCCAAATTATCCCAAGATTTTGTCCTCTTCTGGGGACAGCATTCATCGACTTCACACTTGCCGTGTTTCAATCTTCCATATTCTTGTTCCGAACAACTTGCAAGTTTACCTTCAATAAAAGCATATAAAAAGGTACAAACTTTTTCAAAGCATTAAGTAATCATCCATCGCATTGGGAGACCCATCTTCCAAGAGTTTAAAAATTTGCAAGCCTTTATTTCATTTCCTAGAAACTATCGTTTTCTGATGCAAGTGTTTCCAAATAACATGCAAAAAAGGTCTTTGTTGCAGACCAAGTCAAAGTTTCAAATTTTGCTTGATGCCGTTAAAGTTTCCATAAACTCTTATTCTCCCACCACAAAACTCTCAGTAAGCTCATTTGTCCTGTCACTTCCACTTTAAAGTGACACAAATTAAACATTAAAAACTTGGTTGAGGAAGGACTCAAAAGCATATGAAAAACAAGGATGGAAGGTAACACCACTTTTCCCAAGCATCAAAGCAAAAATTTAGACTAAAACACATCTGAAAATACATGAAAAAAGATAAACAGACTGTGAGAGAGAGGGGTATATCACAGGCTTCCTCTCCCTTCCTAGTAAGCATAAATAGTTTGGCCTTCTCCATGTCTTTCCGTTCCTTTAGAACATTGAATTTTGGCCCTTCCGCTATCTACAATGTACTTGTGTTGTTTATTACACGGTGTAATGCTGCTGGATTGTGTCGATGTCCAAACCTTTCAGCTTCACCACAGACTCAACATGTCCCTTAAGTGTGTGAAGCTCACGAAGCCTGAAAAGGGTAGGTGGAAAAGAGACAAATTTTATGTATTAGTTTCACTACAACACTTTCTCTTACTATAATACTGAATCAATTGTGCAGTTATTTACATTATAATAATTGCGAGGATTTGGCTAGTCTCAAGTAATAAGGGTATAAAGTAAGTATTCTTAGTCGTTGATAAAAAAATTAACAGTTGATATTTCAACACATGCATGTGCATGTAATGTTGATCATTGATTCTTTCATCAACAACATATATTCTTTACTTTATCTTCAAACTTCAAAACATGAGTTTCTCATTTTAGAGAAATTTCACCATCTAATTTCCATGATAATCTTAGAAGCTAGAAAATGTTGTTGCTTACCTTGCAACTTCAGCTCTTCTCTTGGCCTGCTCGGCAATCTCAGACAATTCTCTATAACTGCTCTTCTCATTGAAGATACCAGAAGTTTCTGGTGGTTGAAGTCCATGAAGGGTTCTCTGAGCATGAGCCCATTGAGCTTCTCTCTCTTCCTTACCATAGTCTTTCTTGGTGGTGAAGGCAGTCTGTCACCAACAATTTGAAACAACATTATCAAATATGAGAGACCTATTCGTAGAACCTTCACCATTACAGAATAAGTGAAAGTGAATAAACTATGTAAATACCTTGTTCTCTAGGAGATTCAACCAAGCTTTGCCACTCAAGATGTAGCGGATGCCAAACTTCATGAAATCAAGAGGGACATAGAAAACAATACTGTAGAGCCAAATCACTCCTGCCCAACCCCAACCAATTCCTTTGATCCTTGCAAAGCCCCAGTTAGCATACACTGCTATTAATGTAGCAACCTGCAAGGCCAAAAGCTCAAAATATCATTCCACCCTTTTCTCATAATTCTTATAATGAAACAATTAACACTATTTTGATCACATAAAAGTAACATCCTAATTTGATCATTTTTCAGTTGCATAAATCCAACTCTAGCAGATATGATGCAATATCATCATCCTCACCAGCTGAGCAATAAAGAAAGCGCTCACTAACAGCACTCCAGGGCGTTCAACAAAGGACCAGCTGCGCGAACGGGTTACAAATATCAAAGCCTGGCTCACTATACTGACTTGTAGATACAAAGCTGCGGTCATTTCATCTATACTGTCATTAAGCGGTCTAACTCCAAATTTGTCCTTCAGTCACAATGAAGGGAGAGAATGGTGTCAGATATTTGAGCCAAAACAAGAACATTATAATGCAATATGGAAGAAGCAATGAAAGGTAAATATTTCTTACAGAGAAGAAGCTAGTCTTTTTCATTGCCCAGAAGAATATAACAGTCATCAGTGCCAAGTAACCTCCAAGCACAACCCCAGTAGCAAATATTTCTTTCAGTTTCCAGCTATCCGGCAAGGGAGATGGCTTAACCCTGTCCTTTGAAATTGTCATTATTGTCCCTAATAGTATGACAAGTATTGTTTTAGATCACCGTTCGCACTTATAGTACAAAATAGATATCAAGTATATTTCAGATAAGTGAGAATTTTACCATCATTCAGGATGGCAATAATCAAAACCATGAAAGGGGAGAAGTCAAATTGCCAGATCAGTGCAATGAACATGAAGCCAAACTGCATTCAGAAATAGAAAATTCAAACTGATGAATACTCATTCCTTGAAATAATGAATTACTTATTTAATCACAGCAACACTCTCTACTTACCACTATACGGATTGTGATAGATACTGCATATATCTGAAATGCAAAGATATATGTGTCAGAAGTTAATTTTCGACATCGTGACTGGAAAAAAACTAGTATACCAAGAAAGAAGAACAAACCGTGTAGTTCTTCATTCTTTGGAAAATAGCTCTGCTAGTTAAGACTGCACTAATAATAACACTCAATCCAGGTTCGGTCAAGACAATGTCAGAAGCACTTCTTGCTGCATCAGTAGCATCAGCAACAGCAATTCCAATATCAGCCTTCTTCAATGCAGGAGCGTCGTTGACACCATCTCCAGTCATGCCACAAATGTGCTTCCTCTCTTGCAACTTCTTAACGATTTCATATTTGTGCTCTGTAATAAAAAGAATAGAATATAACTTATCTATCTATTACACATTTTTAAAGAACATGAGTAGAGAAAAAGGCAATAATAATAAGATAATAGTGAGCTGGTACAAGAGTAAGAACCTGGAAAAACACCAGCAAATCCATCTGCCTTCTCAATCAACTCTTCTACAGGGAGTGCAGCAATACTTGCATCCTTGTCTTGACCAAGCAATGTAGCAGATGGGTACATATTTGTTCCCATTCCAAGTCTCCTTCCTGTTTCCTTAGCTATGGCAAGTTGATCACCTAGGAGGCAGAACAAAAGTCATGATATCAAATTAAGGATGTCTGATAATAAATGTTGTATTTTATAACTAATATAGTCTTCCTAGATATTGGAATGATGGAGATTAGTTACCAGTAATCATCTTAACATTTACACCAAGGTTAAGAGCTCGGCGAATGGTTTCAGCACTGTCATGCCTAGGGGGATCAAACAGTGACAACAAACCAACAAACTGCCATGGAGCACCAGCACTTTCTTTTGTCTTCTCAGGAACTTCCTGTAGAAGTATCAGTGAGGAAACATGAGGGCTTATGTATGTGAAGGAACTGAGGATTTAAAAAAAGAGAACATCAAACATGAAGATTGGTTAGCTATAAAAACCTGTCTAGCAACAGCAAGTGAACGGAGCCCTCTTTCTGCAAACTTGTCAATGATAGCATGAACCTTCTTCTTAGCGTCTTCCCTGAGGTTACACAGGGCCATAATCTGTTCACCAGAATAAATACATTACCACCAATGGAGTAACTACAATAAACTCAAATCATGAACAAACTGATCAAGGTTACCTGCTCAGGAGCACCTTTGCTTGACCTGTGCCAATTTCCATTTGCATCAATGTAAGTCAAAGCAGTCCTCTTGTCAACAGGATTGAATGGTAAAAAGTGCACCTCTCTTATCCCAGCCCTTGCCTGCACTAGGCAAACATAGATATGTTCAATAATTCATACCAGGATTTTTCTAGTATGAACTCAAGGACATTAAGTAATGAAATTGAAGAGATGTTTAGAGTGCATTAGTTTAAGTTATTATCCAAAAAGAAATTGCTAAATGAAATACGCTGGCATATTTGGTTAAGCTTTTACTTATTTACAGATAAAATCAATTTTATTTTCTTTAAATAAATGCGCCAAACCTCTTTAGGATCAGCAAGCATTCCAACAATGGCAGCATCTATGGCATCCTGGTTTTCAGTCCTGGCAGCCCTGGCAGCTAGAAGGATCACATGATCCTTGTCTACACCCTTGGCAAAGACCTCAACTAAGTTCTTGTCAACAGTGAGTTTGTTGAGGGTGAGTGTTCCTGTTTTGTCACTGCAAAGGACATCCATGCCTGCCATTTCTTCTATGGCTGTCATTCTCTTGGTGATGGCTCCTTGCTGAGAGAGCTTGTGAGAACCAATGGCCATTGTCACAGACAACACGGTAGGCATAGCAATGGGGATACCTCCAATCAAGAGCACCAACAGGTTGTCAATTCCCTCCCTGTACTTGCGGCGCTGAATTGGGTACATCACTATGATCTCAGTTAGCATACCAACAGCAATGGAACAGATGCAGAAGTTCCCAATGGCTGTAAGAACCTTCTGGAAATGTCCAACTTGGTTGGTGCTATCCACCAAGTGTGCTGCCTTTCCAAAGAATGTGTGCACACCAGTTGCAATCACAACGGCTTCAATTTCTCCTTGTTTGCAAGTTGAGCCAGAGAACACTTCTTGCCCTGGATGCTTAGTAACTGGAAGAGACTCCCCAGTCAGAGCTGCTTGATCAACCATCAGAGGATCACCCTCAAGAAGACGAGCATCAGCAGGTATAATGTCACCTAGCTTGATGCTTATTATGTCTCCCGGGACTAGAATTGCAGCTTCTTGCTCACTCCATTTACCATCTCTAAGAACCTGCAAAGCCATGAACATTTTTGTGAGACATCAAAACATGTTTAAACTAGTCCATTTTAATATCATGTAGTTATAGTACAATGCTAGAATTAACCAACCATTTATGAAGGTGACTTAAAAAGTCTTACTTATCTTACATAAGTTCAATTTTAATAAACTTCTCTTGAATAAGTGATTGACTAAACTGTGAGTCTAATGGACATATGCATTGTTAGATATAAAAGCTTTGTTCACTATTAACCAAGTTGAAATCAACCTTGCTATGACTTTGACACTAGTTATTATAAAAGTACAAAAAACATTCCGTATATAACAATTTGTGACTGCATAACAGTGTTAAGAAAAGAATAAATTATAATGATACCCTCTAAGATTCTTTTTCAAATTACACTTACACCCTTTTGTCTTATTTCACCATCACATAGATTTTTCTTAGCAGGGGTGTAAATGTAATGTTTTTAAAACTTAGGGGATACATGTCTAATGTAAAAGGGATTGACAATAAGAGAAAACCTCCGGAAATGTTAGTGTAATTTTTTCTAAAGACAATTATGCTATCAATGCATATACTAAATTTTATTCTGAAGTATTCACCCTTTTTATGCAACAGAGATGAAAGATCTCTCATATAATTTTTCATAAGAAGCATCCAATACTTATAAATGCAGAAAAGAGACACAAGTTTCAATTGTGTTTATTACCTTTGTTTTAGGGGCAAGACCAGCCATGAGGGCTGCAGCAGCATTTCCAGCATTGTTTTCTTCAATGAAACTGATAGTGGAGTTGATCAGCAACAAGCACACAATACCCACAAAATCTTGCCAATCTGGAGGCTTCCCTTCACCATTTGCAAGAGCAATTGCCATGATTGCAGCAGCCTCCATGACCCATGAAAGAGGATTCCACATGAACCCAAGAAATTTGAGAAATTTGCTTTCCTGTGTATCATTAAATTTACAACCATTATCAATCAGAAATCACACTTGGTCACTGTGTCTAAACATATTAGAGAGTATATATCATAAAGTAAGAACCTTTTTTTCCTCTAGTTTGTTGGGTCCAAATATTTGAAGCCTGTTCTCTCCTTCTGTGGAGGACAAACCTTCCCTTGTACATTTCAATTGCTCAAACACTTCATCAATTGGAATACGTTCCTATAAACACATTAACACAGTGATGTTATAATAAAATAGAAACAGATTCCTCTTAATATGTAGCTAAGCTTTTGCTTCCAAAATTTTCCTTCATTTTCCTTTCTTTGATAAGGGATCATTACTGTTCATAGCCTTGATCCTTTGTCCACATTTACTGTTTATAGTAAATAGTAAATGTTGATGTGAAGATTATAATGAATCAATCTGATCCATATTTCCTTTCAATCTTTTATGTTTCCAAATCTTGCTAACCACACACATGCACACAAGTACAATCATGTAGAAACCATAATTATAAGACATGAAGAAGGATGACGGTGGTAGTGTAGGACAGTTGGACTACTTCAACAATTTTTTCATAAAAGAAAAATTGAATTTGATTTAATATATATATATATATATATATATATATATATATATATATATATATATATTATCTACACTACAAAGACAAGCAAAATTATTGTCCTTTATTTCAAATCATTTCTGTGCAATTTGTGTTGAAAGTAACTAGTGGTTAAAAATAAATTTAATCTCTTAATTTCAATTTTAATGTTTGAAAAGCAATTCAAAATTGAAATTTTAATTTTGACCTTTAGGCTACAATCATCTAATTTTGTCTTGTTTTATCTTTTAAAAAAACTATCTTCAAAATCACTTTTTTATGCTACTGTGTATCCAATTATAGCCCAATCATGTCAAATGCTGCACATGCCTCAACAGGGACACAATCTGTGAGTATGAACCAGCTTTTTTCACTACAAACCCAAAACCCTAATCCTATTTGTTGAAAAAGATAAATAAATAAAAACCCCACTTCAGAATAACTTGCTCAGCTAAATAGTAAAAAAATAATGAAACAAAAGTCTCCATAACCCATTAAAAAAAATGAAAAAAAAAACTTTTTTATACCACGCATTACTTTAACATAAAATAATATCCTATTGAATAAAACTATGAAATGCTAATTAAACTGAAAAAATAAAATCTGACAGTAATTATTTAACTGTATTAATATTTAATGAATGTTTAAAGAAGTAATTATTTCATTAAAAATAATTAAAGAAAAACTATGAAGTGTCAGAGTGGACAGCACAGCTATGTGTCCATGTGATCGGCGCGGGTCCACTGCTTCGACAAGTTGGGGTCGCGTTTGGTCTCTAATTAATTAATACCCTCCTTCTTTCTTTATTCAATTATCGTAATGGACAACTAAGAAGAGAGTGAGGGCAAAATGGGGAATTCAAAACCCAACCCATTTATGAATCCAAACAAGGCGTGGACCCACCCTCTGCCAGGACCGTTGAATGTGAGACTTACTAAGAAAACGGTTAATCCGAAGGGCCATGATCCACACAATATTTTAGAAAGGCCAAAGTACCACGGAAAAGTACTTTAAATTCCTTCCCACCAAACAAGGCACAGACAGAGAGAGACACCCATGATAGATTGATGGGTGATACACACTTCAAAGAAATAATAAAAAATAAAAATCGCACCTTTTTAATTAACCATGTTTTTGTTAGAAATATTTTTATACAAAAATGAGGTCAAAATAACTAAAATTTAGAAATCCTCCATATACTATATACTAATATGAACACACATGAATTTGTTTTCTTGAGACGTGTTGAAGTCTATGTCTTATCTGTATCTCACATGTTTGGATCCGGAATTAAGGTGTGAATAGAGAGAATTAACACGTTTGGTCCACCACAGAGAGAAGTAAATTTTCAATAAGAGAGAAAAACAAAACGAATCTGCAACCTTCCCCCATTTTCATGCATGTTTAGCTTTTGACCAAAAGAAATGGTATAAACTACATGATTGTAATTAAGTGACAGTTTCCTTCAAAGTAACGTTCCAATATTCAAAAACTCTCTCTCCTTGCATGTTACCTTCCCCAGAACTTCCCTCTAATGACTTTTAATTTTCTTCTTCCTCTAATTATCTCAGCAATTAATCGTTAGGTGAGGAAAATTATGTCATACATGATGAAAAAATATAACTTTTTTTCTGAAAACCTTTTTTCTCAGGAAACCCACCAAAATGAACCCAAAGGTGAAAGGATAAGAAGCTTGTAAAGGTTTTAGGTAGAAATTCACCAATAGACAGATTCTAAAGAAAGTGGAAATATTTTTTGAACTCTCCCATCTGAAATCGAAACATGCATGATGTGATTCAATTCAACAAATGAAAGCGAATCAATCTCAAAACTTTTCGGAGTTGAAAGCATGAAACTTTGAGGCCAACCAAAACCAAACATTCATGATGCTACATGCCACCCACCACCAAAGCAAACACGAAAAAGAAACAGTTTTTTTTTTTTTCATTCAACAGTCCCAGACACACGATTAATGAGAGAAAATGGAAGAAAAACAATGAGAGAAAAAGCAAAGAGATTAAAGGGGTGTGTGCATATACCAGATCAACAGTTTCATTCCTGATCTCTTCCAGGGTGATGGTTCCCTTGTCCCCAGCCATGTTGAGCCAAGGCAGAAAAGGTGGAAGAACTTAGTTGCAAGGAGAAGCACTGCAAAGTCCAACACCAACAAGTTTAGAGAAGCAGAAAGGGATAGAAAAGATTAAAGGGTCATTGAATGAGAATTCTGTATCCCAAGAAAGTGAATGAATGAAGGGTGTGAAACTCATACACCTCTTTATATACCCTCTTTTAGTCTGTAATCTCAATTAAGACTACGACTGCACACAAATGAAACCTCCCCACACTTTCTCTCTCTCTCTCTCTCTCCTGTTCCTGGTGACTTGTCGGTTCTTACTGCTGATGTTGCTGATTGTGATGTCTTTGAGTTGAAAATTTGGAAATGCTGCTACTTTATTATTAGAATTATGGTAGTTAAAAAATAAATTATTATGACATTTAATTTAACTTAAAATATTTAATAGAATATAATAAATTGAAAAGAACAACTGCGCATGTTACCCAATTTGGGGGTCCCAATTCTCTGCATTTGAGGTGGCCTGCATCAGGTTAGACCTCAGATATCAAATACATTACACTTCCCACATTAATATCACAGTTTTTGTTTTATATCATTTTTGTTTTATAAGTAATGGGAACAAAACTGAGATAATGTTATTATTCACATGATTGCAAGAGATGCAGAAATTAGAGATTGCTATATGGTTGAAAATCTTTATAGTTTTATCATGTCAAGTCACATTTTTTTTTCTAATTTAAATGCTTATTAAAGTTGAAATTGTAAAAGAATAAAAGATTGTTTTTTTTATATAAAACAATGATTTAAAAAAACTTTTATAAAATTGATTTTGAGAACATTTTCTTAGTTTTTATCATTTTTTATATCTTAAATTTAAATATTTAAAAATGGTAATAATTAAAATAAAATTATGTTACATTAAATTATTTGTCATAAATTTAAAATATAATTAATACATTTAAAGATAAATATTTATTAAAAAATTGGTTGTAATGTGTGTTTAAAATTATTTATTTATTTATTACAAATTTAATTATAAACATTGTTTTTTCTAATATAAATTTTAATATTTAATGTTACAAGAAAAGTTATTGACTATAACATTTGTTATTGACTATAACATTTAATTTCTTTATTGCTTGAAAAACTTCACAACACAACCACCATTCAAAAATGCTTACACCATTATTTAGGGAACAAACATTATAAGTATAATAATTAACTAAAAGTTCAATCAAATTAGTAATCATAATTTGGATGTTTTCTAATATATATACAAACTTTTTTCATAATTTTAATTAGTATTTTTAAAATTGTAATTAATTAATAAATCGGTAAAAACATAAATTAAATATTTTAAGATTTAATCACAATTTAATGAAATAATATTTTATAATATAATAAATATATAATAATTTATTAATAATAACTTTTTTATAAAAATAATAATAAATATTGTAATTATGAGCACCGTATATTATGATAAATATTATAAATATAAATTATATTAAAAAGTAAAAATAAATAATAATTAAAATAAAATAAAAAATATAATAAAATAATTACTATTTAAAGTTGTCATAATTAATATAAAATAAGAAAAGTAAAATATATATGTTTTATAAAAATTATATTAAAATTTTTTTATTTTATAGATTTAATTTAGTTCAGTTAAATCTTTAACTTTAATTATTTTAAAGCAAAAAATTAATTTTTAAATTGATTTTCAGGATTGAACTAATAATTCAAGTGATTTAATAATTAGTTTGTTCAAATAATAAAATTTTAATCATTTTTATATTTAATGGCAGATCTTCTTAAAAATTGAGGGGTCATCATCACAAAGTTTTATAATTCTCATCTAATCTATGATTTTAGTCTCCCCAAACTTTAATATATTTATTTATATATTTACAATTTTATCGTCTCAATCTCTCCTAATTTTGTCATTTTCATATAATATATGATTTTACCCCCAAATTAATCATTTTATATATTTATAATTTTATTTTATCATTCTTTTATCCTTTTATATTTATTTATTATTTTTTTAATAATATATTATTTAACTTCAGAATCAATAATAAAAATCTGTCACTTATTATTATTAATAAAGAATAAAATTATTAAAATCAAACAATGATAGGAGAAATGTTGAAACAAAACTAAGTTAAGAAAAGTTTAAAAATATTATATCTTTATTTTATTTTTGAAACTTTGATAATAGTATAAAAGTTAATGTAATTACTTATTATTCATAATAAGTATAAATGTTGTTATTGTCTTTTTATCCCTCTAGTCTTCGTAAATGGGACACTTTGGATTCTTTAGAAACTGACTAGGGAAACACAATCCTCGAACACAACATCAAACACTAATAAGCACTAAAAAACTAAATTTTTAAATGTGCTTTTAAAATATGAAAGATAAAATTAATATGTTATTTTTTTTACTGAAACATGCTTCATTTAAATTTCTTAATTTGAGACTAATTTTGTTCCTACATCAGATTATTTTTTTAACATAATAAAATTGAATACAATTTTGTATTATTTAAAGCATAAGGTGGTTGACTATATGCAGCAACTTATCCCATGATGCTGTTTTTTGTTTAAAAAAAATTAGAAAAATAGAAGATTGTTAATTTTAAAATATTTAATTTTGTATTAAATTGGTTTTTATAAAATGATGTAAAGAAATTGTATTAGTCATGCTAAATATTATATTTTTCACTTGAAATTTGTTAACATTATTTTAAGACAATAATTAAGAAAAAGTAGTAATAGAGAATAGTAGTATAATGTAGGAAGTGAAAGATTGACTTTTTACATGGGGCCCACAATAATGAAAGTCCAAGACGCAAATTGAAACGAATACAGTGTTTTTTAATGAACAATAATGCAGCATGTGGACCCCAACCCACCTTCTGCCACTCTATATTCTTAAAACTATTCTAATTTTTTTCTTTAATTTTCTTCTTTAACAATTTCTTAATCAAAGTGAAAGAAAGATTTCAAGGAAAAATATTAAATTTTCGTGGTGAAAATTATTTGCCTCACTCTTATGACTTTTCTAAGTTTCGGGTTTGAGTTTGCATGTAAAACAGGTAAGATCCGTTTGGTAGAAAAAATTAAATGAATTCAGAAAGTGACAAATAAAATTAACAAAAATATAATAGGTCAGAAATTAAATCAAAGAGAAAGGAAATTTAAATTTATTTATTTTTCTCATTCTCTTCAATTAAACACATTAACATTTGTATCATTTTCTCTCCTCTCAACTATTTTCCTTTTTAAGTCAAATAATACAAATGTTTGTTTCATATAATCTTTTGCATTTATAAAAATATTATTTTTTTATATTGATTATAAAATTATAAAAAAACGAACATCTATTGTTTTTATTTTATCATTTTTTTAATTGAATAATTTATATAATAACTTATGTTAATTATTATTATTATGTAAAAAATAAAGATAATTTTCTACTGTTATATTGGAATACGTTAATTTCTTACCCGTTGGATTAAAAATAAAATATAATAAAATATTGAACAGTAATGGATAATTGTACTATGATTCAAAATTTCAAATCTTAATAAAACCGTGAATGAAACAAAAACATCTACGTCTATGTCATGATAAGATGGGCGAACCAATCGCAATCCTAAGTTGCCAACTTCGGCGGCTTCAGCCTTGCACATAAGGGTTTGTGGTTCCTTTCACTTTATCAATTTTTTTTTTTTTTTTTAGTTTCTCTCTATTTTATAATTTAACTTTATTATTAGAAAATGTTAATGGGAAAGAAAAAAATATTAAATATTATTTGACCAGTGGAAAAGGAAATAGAAATAGAAATTTGGTTGTTTTTGACATGGAAATCACTTTTTAGAAATTTCTTTTATTATTTAATTTCAAACAAATTACAAGATAACATATCAACTTTGTTTTTTATTTTATTCTACTTTGCATAGAACTTCTCGTTGATTTAGCATTCCTTTTCATCAAAGCATGCTCTTTTATATACTATAACGCCACAAAACAATAAATTTAATCAACTCATCGATTCCCCAAAAAAGTTATTCAATTTAAACCAACTAAACATTGTTAATTAGCATGCATATCAAAGTTGGTTCAAAAGTGGGTGCTTCAGAGATAGAATATGACTTCCTTGGTCAAAACCCAACTCTACACATAACAATACAAGGGAACGAATTTTTAATTCTTCTAAATAAAATTTCGACACAACAATTCTCACATGTTAAGTACGTAATCGAAAATCATATATTCTCATCTTTCAACAACAACAAAAACAAAAAAACATTTTGGTCGAATTCAAGTTCACTATAGTTTGTTTGAATAATTGTTGCCACTTTATTTACGTTTGATTCATTACATTTGAACCAATAACGACATATAACAGAGTTTGGTCTAGTGAAATTAATAACGAGTTCTCTCTAAAATGACAAAACAAGATTCAAATCCTCACACATTATACCTTAAAGTTTTCAATTATTTATAATATTTTTATGAATATTTACATGGTAAACTTTAAGTATGTATCAAGGACGATCTTAATTATCTAATTAACATTATAATTCAATTATTTACTTTAATTAATTGTTAATTCCTCATTAAGATTTTTAAAATAAAATTTAATTTCTTTAATCAAGACTTTCTCAAATACCAACAATACATAACAAATATTAAGTATTGAATTTTAGTCAAATAAGAAGTCATATAACTTTTTTATTTTAATTTCACAAATAATTATATTTATAAGATTTAGTTATTCCAATATAATATAAAATAGTTATTGTTTTTAGACACAATATTTCATTATTACTATTATTATTTATAACTCAATTAATACAAAGTTTGTCCCATAAACTTTTTTGTTTTCAGTCTTATTCATATATATATATATATATATATATATATATATATATATATATATATATATATATATGTAGTGTGTGTGTGTGTGTGTGTTATTAAAAACTAAATTTAAAAAAAAATAGTTAATTAAATTAAACTAAACTATAACAAATTTTAGTTCAAAATTTAAAATCAGAACTACTACTTTATTTAATAAATGTTTTGTTTTCTTTCATAATTAGACTATGATATTTATATTAGTTTATTAGAAACAATATATATATATATATATATATATATATATATATATATAAATGGGTGATTTTACATTTTTAATAAATGAATTCATATATGTATTTGGATTAGAAAAAAATGATATATTTTTTTAAAATTAAATTTTAAGAGTTTTATAAGGTATAATTTAATAAAAAAATTCAAAATTTATATAAAACTAGTATCTCTTTAAAATGTTTTTCTTTAAATTCATAGTAGAATTTCATACTTCTCTTTAAATTTCTAAAGATGTTTTTTTTTTATCTTTTTCAAAATTAAATCACATAGTTTAGGAGATAGCAGAGAATAAAACAATAATATAGTTAATCATGATTCTAATTAAATTAAGTTTTTTTTTTCCTTCTTTTTCGTTTGGCTTGCATTGCACGTAAGGGTCATAGATCCTATATGTAGGTTTTGTTTAATAAAGTTGAATTTAAGATATTTTAAGTCCTTATTAATGAGTTTTATTTATTAATAAGATTTTTTCTTAATAAGCATATTTTGTATTTTTTTTTTTTTGGAATTATCACACGTGAAGGTGATTATTCCAAATAAATAAAGTTAATTAAATTTAAGTATGTTTATAATTAGATTTAAACGTTCTTCAAATATGAGTCTCTCATTTAAACAATGTTTCATCATCTAAGGAAAAAAAAAGATTAGAGAAATAATTATATTAATTATAGAAGAACATTACTCAAATGTTAGTGGCTGAATCAGCGTTATTTTGTTGTGATTAATTATTTAAAATATTTGATGTTTTTATGATAAATAAATACATGTTTGATAACATAATTAATATATCTTTGTTATGATGATGAGTTATTTGATGATTTTTTGAATATATTTGAATACATAGCTTATGATTTGTGATTGAATAGGTTGAATAAAGTAGTTTTTATGTTCCCACACATTTACATGTTTACACATACATTGGTGTTATTATGAACATTGAAGAAGCTCATAAGAGTGGTTGGAGAGTGATGTCATGCTTCTCCTTCAAAATCTTTTCCACAGTAGGTGGGTTAAGTTAAGTGTTTTTTTTAATTGGATTAGATTAAAAATCGTTTTGTTGTTTTAAATAATTAAATTTTAATTAAATCAAAATAAAACTACAAAATCAGTATAAAATAAAAAAATTAGTTGAATTTGTAGGTTAAATTATTTTTTATATAAAAAAATAACATTAAATTTTTAATATAATTTTGTATAAAAAATATAATATTTTTTTCTTTTATCTTATATTAATTATACCAAATTTAAATAATAATTATTTTATTGTAGTTTTATCTTATTTGAATTATTATTCATCTTATACTTTTTAATATATTTTATATTTAGAATCTGAATTTTAATTTACGACGATAATCTAATTATTTTTTTTATAAAAAATATTATTATCAATAAATTTATTATATTATAGAAATATTATTTTATTAATTCCATTTGAATATTTAAATTAATAACCGATTTTATTTTAAAAATATTATTTATATTAACATCACTTTTTGAAACTCTTGATATAATTAAATTTAATGAATAATAAAATTCGATTTAGTTAATTTTAACTATATATAAATTAAATACTTTATTTTTTATTATTCTAATATATTTTTACTATATTATCTCTAAAATTTAGATTATTTTTTCTAAATGAAAATGACACATAGCAGTATATTAAATTTAAGAACAAAATTAGCGAAAGATAAATACGATACATGCACGGTTTTGGATAAAGATTAATTCAATAATTAGTAATTCACACCATTGAATGTGATAAGATAGGAGGTAATTTAATGAAGCTATGCTAAAATTGTCAATGAAATATTAATTGGTCACGCATGGCATGTAGTTATAGAAGTATAAGATGTCACACCCTTATGTCACACTAATTAATAATATTATTATTATTTAAGAAATGTCACTATTCTATGGTTAATATACTAATAATAATCCAAAGAAAAATCTCATTTACTTACATATATTAGGGTTTGATTATTACTCCATTATTATTATTATTATTATTATTATTATTTTTACATATTTGTGTCAAACCACTTGAATAATAATCTTGATTAGTGTTTATTGTCAACTCTGAATAAAAGTCACATCTTAGGCACTAGTTGCAATCAATCATTTTCACATGAACCCTAAGTATGATCCTTTGCACAATCTTAACCCTAAATTTCTCAATCAATGAACCCCATTTGTAATTGGGGCAAGATTTTAAATTTCTATAGCCTCTTGTGTCTTATGTCACATCCACTTCAATAGTCAACTTTGGATACATCATATATAATTTTGCTACGTGTATGTATGTATGTACATACAAATGTCACAACATCATCACTTTAATCACCAAGCTTTTATTTCTCTATTTATTGTTATTTATATAGATAAATAAATCCATTTATTTTAAAAAGTTTTTTTATCATTATATTTTTCATTAATTTAATGAATGAATATATTTTTTTGCTTTTTATAATCTTTCACAAAAATCATTATCTTCCATTTTCAGAGTTTTTATTATTAAATTAAATGTAGTTTTTAAAATAAAACATATTTTTTTAAAAATAAAGTTAAATTTGATTTTTAAGTATTTTTATATTCATTTTTAAAATTAAGAAACAATGGTTTGTAGTTTTTTTTCTTTTTTTCAATTTTTAGAGAAAATGTATTTATGCTATTTTTAGTAGGTTTTTCTTTTTGTTTCTACTGGCTATGTATTTTATGATTTTACATCATGACACGTTGATATGCTAGATTGATTAATGTAAACCTATCAACCAAAGTCATACTAAATTAAAAAAAAATTAATATCAAACTAAATTGATATAATACTTTTTAAATTAATTTTTTCTTAGTTTTTTTTTTGTTGAGGATTTTATGCAAAATTTCAATAGATTAGAATCAGACACAAATATATTCAAAATGATTTAAATTTCACCAACCCACTTATTGGTTTTTTTTTTTTTCTTTGATATGAACAAGTTAGCAACGATGTATATGATTAGTTTGAAAGGTTTGAAAGTCAACAAATGAAACTCAAGCTTACTCGTTTGGTCTAAAACAAAGTGTTTGAATGAGTTTTAAAATATATAAAATTACAACTATTTCTCCTTAAAAGGCAAAATAAAAAATAAAGATAATAACGATGACCAACAACTTTCCCACCTCCAAATTATGCTTCTTCACCTCAATCATTTGTTCCAACCAGCTATTCAAGTACCAGAACAACTTCAAATTAATGGTTTCAGTTTTTCCTTAAATTTCATAATTTTTTAAATATTTAAATAAATAAAATATTTTTTTACCATATATATATATAGTATTTCCGGGATAAACCATCGGTTCGAGATACCACTGTTAGATATTTCCGAGAGGATAAATAATAAAAAGATTCTCATAAATGGGTCATAAACTAATCATATAAAAAATATAACACCATTTTTAATAAAAATTTTAAGATAATAAATTATAAGTTTTTTCACTTATAAATAACTCAACTTTCTTATTTACATATTTATCACATTCTAGACTTCAAATTTACGTTTAAATTTATATATATATATATATATATATATATATATATATATATATATATATTAATTAGGGTATATCACTGAAATTTGATACGCTGCAATACTATAAGAAATAATAAAAATATATTTATTTATATTATATAGTGCTACGACCTAACACATGCAAGCATGTGAAGTGATATATGCATTGGACTTTGAATGATTGATATAAGAGTGTCTCACAAGATCGAAGAACCTCGTTATTTGTTCACAGGTAAACTTTGGTGTCATCTTCTGTTGCTCAATCTGCCACAATTAACTTCTTTCTGTTAAAATAATCTCATTTTTCTTTTTTATAATTATGGCACTTATATGCAGATATAAAATAATTTATCAATGATTTATTTATGTTAAAAATTCAATATTGTAATTAATAAGTCACTTTTTTAAACACAAATAAACATACCCATAAATAATCTTTCATTGATTCCATAATCCAATTGTTTGCTTGTGAGATTTGGCTGTTTCACTTCGAATTAGTGTTTAAATTATTCCAAAGTTAGAATCTTTCTTATTCTTCTTTTCAGAATATCAGCACTGAACACTAGACAACTGAAAATCGACGAAAACAAACATAAAACACCAACACTAACTAACATAAGATCAAACAAAAAAAACTACCAACACAACAAACAACCTTCACCGGAGAAAAGTTTCTTTAAAAACAAATGAAGCCAATACCCGTGACCAAATCCAAAGGCTTCTTTATTTGACCTAGTTTTTGAGAGATATATAGAAGAAACACACACACAAATTGATTTAATGATGATCAATAAAAGTAAAAATTGTTACAAAAACAATAATAATCCTGATTTTGATTCTAACGATCAAACATAAACATAATCCCGTATTGATAAACATGCTGTAAATTGAATGCGAAAGCGTACTTGTATTTCCCTCTTGATTTTCTCTCTTAATGGGGATAGAAAGAAAGGAACGAGACTGATACTTACGTTCTGTGTGTGCTCCCAGAAGGGGACCATGACCCTTTAGATAACCAGAATTAGGTTAATTACTTAAGTTTTAGTATTTCCAATTTAGCCATTCATCAAATTAGAAATTGCTCTATGGTCTCTACACAATTTTATTTTCATGACATGCAAAAACTTTAATTTAGTCATATCACTTTATTATTTGGCTTAATAAATAATGGTCCTAACACATTTAAATTATGTATCATATATATACATGACCTAAATTTTGCCAACAAAAATATCATGTTTATTAAAAAATGACTATATATTATTATTATTATGAATTGATTTAATGATGATTAATGAAGATAGAAATAGAAAATTAGTTAAAAAATAAAATTATATAAATCAACTACTTTTGGGGTTTCACAAATGGGCAATAGTTATCTGGTCCAAATAAACTCAAGAGAATAAATAGGGTATGTTTTGGTGAGAGTTAATCTCAGATTTTGTTTAACTGGTGTAAAATTATTCATCACTTTCAAACTATAAAATAAATGAAAAGAAAAGAAAAAAAAAAAGTCAACTAAGGAAATTAGGGTTTATTATGAGATCCCGTGGGGACATGAAAGGGTACACATAACAAAGTTTCACACGCATTGGGGTATATAGCCCTTATTGCTGAGAATTAGGGTTACTTGTATTATACGCATTCGACTCTTACGTTTTTCCTCACGCAACTCTTAATTAAGTGTTTGATTCAGTTTCTGCTACATTATCCTTAAACAAATAAATATTTTGGTTATAACATCATTTATAAAGTAATTAAGAAGATAAAATAAAGATTAATTTAATATTAGTTAATTCTACACATTAATAAAAATTCTTGTATGTTTATGTGATACAAGAATAATTTAGTCTTCAAAATTCTATCTTATTTTTATATCAGTTTTAGATTCTAAGACAAATTTAAATAAATCCCTAATATTTGTTTATCTTTTTATTTAATTTCATATATATATATATATATATATTATTTTTAAAAAGTTTGTAGAATTAAAAGTGTTAACATTTCAATCTTTTTTCAAGAAAAAATATTTTTGGGTTCAAATTTTTGTTACTTTGGGATATCAACGGAAGTTTAATTCGAAAACAAATTATTTAAAATTCTACTTCTTTTAGTTTAGGTTATCTTTAATATTTTATTTTTAGCTTCAAACACATTGTTATATGTAAAAATTGATTATTTTGCAAGTTAGTTATCTTAAAGCTATTCTTCAATAAATTTATCTAAATAGAAGCAAATTCTGAGTAATTGATCAATTATAGACTTGGTTACTTAAATAATTCAATTAAATGAAACATCATCGATACATTGAAACCATCAACAAACTCACTTCAAAAAGGCTTTGGAATAAAAAGAAAAAAAAAACTAAAAAAATTACTTAAAAAACTAACCCCTAAAATAAATTAATTCAATGATAACTCAAGTAGTCTAAGGACTAGGGTGATCTATGCAGAGACTATCTGTCTCTGCCTCTCTGGCATTGAAAACTTAGCATATAATATATATATATATATATATATATATATATATATATATATATATATATATATATAACACTAAGTATGATCCAGTGAACCAATAACAATGGCATAAAAATGAAAGCTGTCTAGAATTATTGGCTCCAAAAAGCAAAGCACTTCAAATAGGAAATTTTAGAAATTGTCTGTACCCACTTATTTCTGTCTCCCTCTTCTCTTCTCTCATTCATCTTTTCATTTTGGAAGATTTCAGCATCTGGGGTTGGATCTATGTAAGGTAATAGTCTACTAGTTTACTGTGCAGAAAAAAGGTGTTCAAGTTCATTGCTGTTGTTGAACTATTATTATTCATAGGCTGTTCTTACTTGCAGACATCTTTTATTTATGCTGTCGGATTCTTTGCATCAATTAGGCCTTTGAAATTTTTGGGAATGTTAGAAGAATGTCTCCTTTTAATCTTTTGTTTTTCATCACATGTCATCTTTAGATATACATAATTTTCAATACGGGTGAAAAGTAGTTTATATATATTTCTACCTTCTAATTTACCTTCTAATTTATTAAAATGTTTTTTTAGAAATAAAATTATATTGAATTAGAGTTTTAAAATAAATAATATTTTGAATATTGGAATTGACCTAATAATATTATCATAATAAATATGAGACCGAACACTCTTGTTTTATGGGATTAAAGATAGAGTTTTCTCTACTCGTATATATCTCTTAGTCTTCGGTCTGGAAACTATATTCTAATATGTTTATTAATTTCACATCGTTTAAATTAAAAAATGAAGAATAATTTATATATATTTTTCTCTTTTAATCCATAATATCCTTTTAAAAATAAATCTATAAAATGGATAATATGAATAATAAGTGAACAGAGTTATAATGGTACTAGTCTATTTATTTTATGTGATTTTCAACTTCTACACTTCAATGGCCCAAAATGAGGACTATTGAAATGAAACCCAGAAAGGTTTACATAAAATACGATGAATAGACTTCCATTAATGAATGAGAAAAAATGCATTGAAAAAACAATATTCGTCCAAGAAAATACTGTGCACACGTGAACATAAACAAACTCCATGAATGAAAAACCGAAACCCCCGAAAAGATCTACAAAAGTTCTACCTTTTAAGAAGTATAAATGTCAATTGTATTACTTTTTTTTATATTGTTTGAGAGTGTCAATTACATTACTTTCCAAAAGTAATGTGTCTAATAATGCCTAAGAACGAACATGGTCAATATAAAACAATAATACATGAGGTTTGTTTTAAGACAATGACTGTTAACAGGTTTTACTTGCAAAAGGTCAAGTTTCCTTTAGCCTCCAACAACTCCAAAACCTACCCTGTATTTTGTTAATTATATTCAACGCATCTGTTCACACACTTCCTTAGAATCAACATATTGGATTGGTTTAATAGGGTTTTTACCTGCAGATATTAAGAAACTTTTTTTTTTCATTTATGAAATAACAAACAATTTCAAAAGAAAATTATTTGGTTTGGTTTTCAATCCTCATACGATACAGGCCCAACAAATATAAGGCCATAAAAAATGTGGAATCAAGCAAGTTAGCTCTTTCTTTTGTTTTGTTTATTTTATCCTTTTACATTTTACACACATTAAATAAATCTCACCATAACACAACATTTATCTCTTCACTGACCAATTCAATAACTTAAAATTTTACTTAATAAGTCTGTCAATTGACCTCATCTCTATATTTTATCAAATTAATTTTTATTAAATCATCATTTTTTTTATTATGTCAACATTATTTATAGTTGAAAATTGTTTGTTGGGTCACTAAGAGTGTTGAACCAGAGCTAAAAAAGCAATGCTATGCCTTGATGGTTCAACATTTACCTTTATATAAATTAGATCTTTGATTCTCCATTAAAAACATATACAACTAGATTTATTGAAATTCTTAAATAACCAAAGTTTTGAAACAAGATAAAATACTAAAACAACTGAAGATTAGGAACGGGAAACTAAAAAAGCTGATACATGACATTATCCTCAATCCAATCATCAAAAGATATACTTCAGAATAACGCCACTCCCAACAGCCCTTAAAGGATAGATTCATTAAGTTCAAAACTGAGAGCCCATCTTTGCATTTCTCATGCTCCTGAAATCATAAGGAAAAAAAAAAACATAAAAAAGCATAAATCAAACAAGGATATTTGTAATTTATACTAGTACATAAGAATTAACTCATGAAAACTCTTTCTGGATATTTATTTCAAATAAAACATAAATTTTCTAACTGTCAATATCGGAAAATAGCAGTTCTACTGTCATTGAGCAGCACTTGGGAGAACTACCAATAACAAAAACCAGTTGCAGCGTCTTTGTAGCGTTACAGCCACAATGGCCACTCACCACTACACAATAATAACTGTTTAAGTACTGGCTACAAATTATGCAGTACCTTGCTCACTATACTCGGACATACTAGGTAGTTATGACTTATGAGGAGTATATACCAAAAGGCTTGAGGCAGAACAAACCTGTGTTTGATGATTCAAACACAGCTTTCGAGGAAGGCTCAATCTTTAGGTTTCATGGCAGGGAAGAGAAGAACCTCCTGTCACCGATAGGACTGAAGATGGTAAGAACTTGTGAAAATAAAGTAAGCATGGAGGAAAAGCAAGAGCATGAACCAGAACCTTGATATTCTGCGAATCTGTCAATAACATGGTCAACCGATCAATACCCAAACCCCAACCACCAGTAGGCGGCAAACCATACTCCAGAGCCAAACAAAATGTTTCATCTAAGGCCATTGCTTCATCATCACCTGATTGCCGATCCTGACACACAAAACAAATAACAAATAATTGCTACTATTATTTTCTGGAGAAAAACCCATCAATCTGAGCACAGCATTATTATAATTGTATCGAATTTCATTACCTTGACCTGTTCTGCAAATCTCTGTCGTTGTACTACAGGGTCGTTCAGTTCAGTATATGCATTGCAAAGCTGAAAAGAAAGAAACAGTGGTCAGAATAAGCATGATTGCATATAAATATATATATATATATATATATATATATATATATATATATATTTAAATAATGATCACTTAAATGTCATGATCTTACTTCATGTTTATTGATAAATAATTCAAAACGTTCAGTCAAGCCTGGCTTCGATCTGTGCCACCTTTGCTAAAGGACTCATTATCTCAGGATGGTTTATGATGAATGTAGGATTCACACACGTTTCTTCCAGAAAGTGACCCACAAGCTGCAAAATGAAAAAAATAAATAAAATTATATTTCCTCCAGACACATCATAAGAGGCTCATAAGAAGGAATAAAGACACGTGAACAAAGAGCTTTAATTAGAATTGAGCATATATAAAACTGAAATTATGCCTATTATTAAGTAACAAAAGAGTGAGTAGAGGTAAAATATAAAATGATGAAAAATAGTTATAGAACATAATCGTAACCGAGCCTCCCTAAACCTGCACTACCGGTCTTGTAGAAATTAAAGATAAAATTCACAATATAGAAACATTGAACTCTTTAGTGGAAACTATAGTTATATTACTAGAATGTTTATTTACTACCTATAGACTACAATGTCAATATTTTCTTTTTCCCTGGAAATTACAGTTATATAACTAGAATGGCTAGTTGTTGTTTGAGAAAGAATAGAAAGTCTATATAGACTATAGTTCTATTCCCCATCCTACCATTCATATATATATATATATATATTTCATTTTCCCAATCATAACACAGAAAACTAATGCTTTATATGATATATCCAACATATGAACTCTTGTCCTGGTTTTGAATCAGGCATGCAACAACACAATAAGTATGACACAATATCGGGGAAAACATCGCCATTTAAAATTTAATCCATTCTGTCTGGGAAAAGGAAAGTAGATCCTCTTTCAACAAAATAATAATTTAAAATCAAAGTAGATAATAATAAAGAGGAGGGAGGGGCAGAAAAGATATTACTTTATCCAACAAACAAGCAGTTGTCTCAGGAGGTGGACATTTAATCTCATACTTCAAGCATGCGTCTTTCAAATATTGATTAGCTTCCTCACTGGACAAGTCTTTGGGAATATTTAGGTCTGCCATCTTCTCTAATTCTTCAATCATGTCAATCCTTCTGTAACAGTTAAAAACCAAACCTATCATTCAGAAGTAGAATATAATTGTGATGGCTATCAATGACCAGATAATGTACACCATGCACCTGAAAGGTGGAGTAAAATCAATTTCAATAGGTTCCTTGTCAATCCCATCAGCATGATACTTGATTTTATAGCTTCCCTTTGTAAGTTCTTTAACCATACCTGTTTAATGCTTTTCACATGAGATTAAGTAGCTAATTTGATGATAAGATTCATGAAAGGAAATAAATATCAATATGACAGTAAAATACACTATTAAATTCTTACCACTCAACATTTGCTCAGTTAGATCCATTAAGTCATTGTAGTCTTTATAAGCCATATAGAACTCACAAGTGGTAAACTCAGGATTATGAGTCAAATCTATGCCCTCATTCCTAAATTGTTTGCCAATTTCATAAACACGTTCCAGTCCACCAACAACCAACTCCTTAAGATACAGTTCTGGAGCAATCCTCATGAATAGCCTCATGTTAAGGTCATTGTGATGGGTTACAAATGGGCGTGCTGCAGCTCCACCAGCAATCATGTTCATCATAGGTGTTTCAACCTGAAAGTGATGCTACGAGTAGGTGACTGGAAGAAAAGAAACCACAGGATCCCAGTATCAAAAATACTCAGATGCAGAACAAACCTCCAAGAAATCAAGGTCATTAAGGAAACTCCTAATGTAAGAAATGATTTTAGATCTGGTCTTAAATATTTCTCGGACCTCGGGATTCAGCATCAAGTCCAAATGACGTAACCGATATCTAGTTTCCTAAAAATCAACAATAAATTGAATAAAACATATATTCAGTACATAAATATTGAGAGAATAAGCAAAAACGAGATAGTTTCAAAGAAAACTTTTTCTACAGCTTCTGCAGATAAACTCATCAAAACATGTATACTATATCTAGTAAAAAAACACAGCTGATAGAATGTTAAACAAAAATTATGCAAGCATCAAAATTGAGATTTGTGTAATTGTACAATCATGGACCAGGCGCTTCTAACATGAGAAACAATTTCAATAGTTGAATAGATGAATGGTTCAGATTTTTACACATTACTGATATTTTTTATTAAAATTCAAAAACTGAAAGGAGAAACAATTATTCTCCCTCAAGCATGTAAAAGGAATCTTATCATAGACAAAGATCCTCTCAGGTAAAAAATATTTCTTTGATAATGTGGGATGCTGGCTGGCAGGTACTTAATTCAACATGAAATGAACATTTTCAATATTCCCACAATATCGAGAAAATTAATCTATTTGTGACAAAGGGCCTTTGCAAGCTGCAACTAAGTTAGTTCATAAGAAGGATCATAAAATAGAGAAATGGAATAAATAAAGACATATAGAATATACTAAACAACAACTACATTTCAAAATGGCACAAAAACACACTGAATAATAATGACAAGCCTCTAGCTCATTTCAATTCCTAACCTTAACCCTAACCATCAAAGCGTAAGGTAACGTGCTTCAATATCTTTTTAATCAAAACAACTGTATCCACCCCCTTACTGTTGTCCCAAATTGGTTTCATCAACAGGAGAGTGTATGGAACACATGTTTTAAAAGACTAAAAACAATGAAAGTACCTATAAAAGTAAACATTTCATGCCAATAATACCTGATCCTTCAAAATATATATTTCAGGATTCCTGGTTCTTCCTGGTACCCATGGATTTCTCTGTAGATCATTAAAGAAGTAACAATGTAATTGCATATGGTCATCAAATGACATTAAAAAATAAATAAATAAAAGTTCCTGACCTTCAAAATTGCATTATCCGCAGAAGCAGCAGACTTTTGCCTTGGCATCATATGCAAACAATGAGACAGCACCACAAAAGTCTTGGGAAAAATACTAAGTTCACCCTTCTTACTTTTTCCTGGATAATTACAAAATGGAAAACTGAAAGGTTGTTGATTATAGGATTGAAAAACTTATAATTCACAATATAATAATAAATTAGAATGAATCCTAACTATGGAGAAACAGACCAGAAAAATGTATGTTTGATTAGCAAGATTTAGCCCTTTATAATGTAAAATGCAAGTGTACAACAAACATGGTTCTAAATTTTGCCAATTAGCTAATATTTACAGAGTGACTCTTGGGCTTAAAATGGCTACCAATTACTCAAAATGAGACACCACTTTCCAAGTATTGAGACAGAAATCATCTAATAAAATGCAAATAATCAAAACAGGACTTGTATCTATACTTATTCCTATTTAACTAGACTTAATTCATCTAAACTCTTATAAATTATAATCATCATTGCATTTATATGTATTTATTGTCATGGTCATTGAACTGGACCAAACTTTATGTATATGAATAAAAAAAATAATATATATATATATATATATATATATATATATATATATATATATAATTAAAACTTTATGGCATCACTAACCGGGAAATCCAGTGATACCAACTATGTCACCACGCTTCACATTAGAATGGAATTTGGAAAAGTCAGCCTCATTCAAGTCTGATTTACTGCATTTGAGAAATATCAGTTGTTTCATCTGTCCCCTAATATAAAACAGGGCAAAAGAAAAGAAAAATATAGGATATACAATAAGAAAAAGACATCACTGCCAAAGAATTCAAAATACTAAAAAGTACCTCTGTAAATTGAAAATACAAATAGCTACATACATCTAAGTTAATCAAACACCAAGGAAGCAAGGAATTACATGACTTTGTAATTTGTATCCTTTGAATGTGGCATTATAAAATAACAACCGCTTAGAGTTAAATTTTCCGTATTTGAATTATTACCACTAAAATAGTTATCCTTTATAACTCTAGCACTGTAGCACCTACCAAATCAGTATAAAAGAACACACGCAATATTAATGGTACAATATCAAAAGCTACCTTCATTACATATTTATCCTATGGTATTTGTGTAAAAGTATTATAGAAAAAGACCCAAAAGGATAATTCGGATTATTCTACAGAGTGTAAAGAACTTGCCTGACTGGACTTCCATGAAAAATTATTCAGGTTATATGCCACGCATATTAATTTTGGATTATTCCTCTAATTTAAACATGTAACAAAATGTTCAATCATGGTCAATACTATTGGGTTTTTTCACCTGATTCAACAACATCCCTACACGAGCAAGAAGTCTAATAATTGTTTTGTATTAGTATGAACAAAGTAGAGCAACAAGATAAGGTACCTCGCATCGGCCATAACCTGGACCTTGAAACCACCACCGTGCAGGTCATAAAAGACAAGCTTAGAACCAGAGGTGCGCTTGTGCATGATCCGACCTGAAATGCAGAAACATTAATGAATCAACATACAGCCACATTTAAAAGAAACCAAACTATCAATGCACAAACTGCTGACTACCAGCCAAAGACACAGAAACATCCTCAAGGTGCTGCCCTTCACTTAAACCTCCATATTCTTTAATGTATTCATCAATGGACATAGTGGCAAAGAATTTGTGTGGATATGGATTTCTCCCATCTGCCTTTTGAACTGCAAGATACTTCAACCTATTCTCAAGGTATTGCTGCAATGAAATGAAACAAACATAGAACGTAATTCGTCAAATATTCCACTTCGGAGACAAAAGAGGAGCCATACAGTCGGGTCCATATCATCCTCATCAACAGGTGCATATTTGATATCCTTAGCCCTCTGCATTTCAGCTGCCTAAAAAAGTAAAATAAAATACATAAAATTAATTGCATTATAAATATAAATAAAAATCCATCTATGACAAGAAATTGAAATCTAAATGCAGAGAATTGATGAAATTCCTCAAAATCTTATAAAAACATACAAAAATTTGAGTTAGTATAGAAAAAAAAAAACTTAATTGCATATATTACCACTCAATTATCATCATTTTTCAATTTTTTCCACCCAATTTACTTTTCCACGTTTTCCAGTCAAACTTTTCAATCTTCACGAATATTATGATTCGTATATTTCTGACAAGGTGATAACATGGCATGAAAAATAAATAAATAAAGCATAATCAAGACAATATCATGCAAAAAAATGGTAGCAAAACAATGCTGTTTTGGTTGTGTTCTCTTTTGTCACACGACATCTCCTTTAGAATTTTAACAGATAAGTGAAACATGCAAAAAATTATAAGATGCCGGAAAAGACAGAATTTAGATGGCATAATGCAAAATAGGGAATTGGTAAAAGCGTTGGAGATAATAGAAAAAGAAGTACCTTTTGCGCTTCCTTTCTTCTTCTCTCTGTTTGTTCTTCAGTTCTCGCTTCAGTGCACTGCGAAAACAAAAGAACAAAAAAGTGAACCAATTGTGGCGAATTAAAGTTGCATTGTGAAAAGGATTTCATGCTCTAACTTCTTGCTGATGGTTTCGCCGGCGCCGTTCGACGGCGGCTCCGAAGAAACTTCCATTGGCGGCGAAAGAGTGAGTGTGAAAACAACTTATTTCGTGTTTTGTTAAAATTCTGGAAAATATACTGAATAAAAATAATATTGTCTAGATTTAAATAAATCTGTCCTCTGTCTATATTTTTTATTTTTATTTTTCATTTCAAAAATTATAAATTATTATTTCTATTCCTTCAAAGACCAATATTTTTTTATATTTTTAATTCATATAAAATATTTTTATCTTTAATATCTCTTTTAAAATTAAAACCATTTTTTTAAAATTTGTCTAGTGATTCAACCACTCAAGAAGATGATTAATCAAAGTTTAAAAATTGAAGCTGGCTCAACTAATTTAAGAAAATAATAATTTAAATAATAAAAATTACAATGAAATAATGTAATATTATACTTTATAATAAAAAGACTAAAATATCATGATATATGATTCTTAATATGCAAAATAAATATAAAAATGAAATTAAATATATTATAATACTTATGTATATATTCAATAAAACACGACATCTATTGAATAACAAAAAGTAAAATAGTAAATTAATATAATATAAAATTATACGAGTAATAAATATTAAAATAACAAATTAATATAAATTATTAACCCATATGTTTTATGACAAAAACTAAAAATAATTAACATGAATTCTAAACCTAATTTTAATTTTTTTGGACTAAATTTAATATGTATAAACTAAACTTATAATGTATTATATGCATAACGTGTAAGGGAATATCAATCATATAATGTTATAATAAGCTTGTAATTAATATTGATTAATTAAAAATTTATAATAGAACATTTAATTTATGATGACTTAATTAAAACTGAAAAAAAAGTATAATTATGACCGTTTTAAAAATCTTATAGGCTTTAATAAATTAATTTCTACCTTAGACGAAAGAGGAAACAAATGACATGTATAGGGGTATAAATAGGTGATGATCTTAAAAGATGACAAGGTTTAAAATATATATATATATATATATATATATATATATATATATATATATATATAGTGAAGAATAATTTGTATAAATTGTTACTCTTCTTTGATTTTGAAATAAAATTATATTTTGCATTTGAATGTTTTTATTATAAATAGTGTTGTATTAGAAATCAAATTTTTATTATTAACCAATTACAAATCATATAAAAATTCTAAATTTTAAAATGTATCATACATTATATAATTTCTATTTAAATCACAGTAGAAAATATTTTATTCTTTTATGTTATTACAATTGTTTTTATAAGATCAAATATCATATCAAACTTTTTTTTTTAATTTATACGTTTTTTCTACATGCTTTTTTAAGACCTTTTGACGAAGAAAATTACCTAAAAGGCTAATAACATAAGGAGTTTTAAAAATATCATTTTTAGGTGTTTTTAAGTAGAGCTAGTATAGTAAGATTACTGAGAAATGAGTATAAATAAAATGATATTATATTTAATTTGAAACTTTAAAATATTAAATTATGAAAATTTAACTTCTTATTGTGACAATAAAGATCGATACATTATATTTTTCGGAAGACTAATCACACAACAATATATTATATTATCATAAAAATAAAAGAAAGCAAATTTAAAATTAAACCTATAACAAAATTTAAAATTCAATATGTAAATAATATTTATCTAAATTAACAGTGGATGAAATTTGAAGATACCTGGGTTGTGAATATGTTAAAATGAGAGTAATAGTTGTGTTACTGGGAGTTACTGATAACTTATTTATAGATTTTAATTTTAATTTTGTTTGGACATTATCATTATCGGATTTTGTTGAATAAAAGAGGATGCGACTCTCAAAATTTTATAATTCTTATATAATTTATAATTTTGATCCTCTAAAATTTAATAAATATTTAATATATTTACTTGTTTATTTATAATATTATTTTTTTATCATTTTTTTAATTTTGTAATTCTCGTATTTTATTTTATTAAATTTAATGACTATTTGTTAAATTTAAATATATATCTATAATTTTATTTTTTTAATTTTTCATCTCAATTTTTTTATATTTATTTATTATTTATTAATATTTTTATATTTATTTATTATTTATTAATATTTTTATATTTATTTATTATTTATTAATAATATATTATCTGAGTATCCATAAGCTTCTGAATCAAGTCAAAGGCCATAGTTTTTATCTTATTCTTATGCTTTTACTTGCATGCAAGAACACCAAAGTTTAAGCTTAATGTTAGTATATGGTGAAAAATTTACCCAAAATGGTGACACATATATTATAACGTAACATTGAGCGAAAATTATACATCCATTTTAATGATTGGACAGAGAGAATTCAAATTTTTTTTGTATAAAATTATTCATAGTTTTATATTTAATAAAAATCATAACATTATTTTATACTTGTGAACTTTTGAAACCTCCAAAATTGAAGAATAGTGTTTGATCAGGAGTGAGATGAGAGCATTGCATTTTCAATAGGAGTCACTGCTTTCCATGCGGGTCATCCTCTTTATCTTCATTTTCTCCACACATTCCACTCGTTTTCTACACTCAAAATCATCCAACCCCTCAATCCATTCCCTTTCAATTCTCGTCCTAAACTTCAAACCCTAAACCCGTTAAACTCTTCTTCTCTTGTCGTTGAACTTGCAGTTACTGGTGCCAATGGAGGGTACCCTCTTCCCCAACAGGCCTGTTTTACCTGCTCCTGCACCAAGACCAACCCAACAGCCTTCAAAATTCAAGCCCACCTTTTTACCTCCACAGTCTCCCCCACCTCCTCCTCCTTCTTTCCAATTTGATTCCCTGCTCCAACATCTTCAGCAAATCTCTTCAGTTCCAATCACCACTCACACCCTCACACTTGTGCCTCCTTTTCGGGATAACACCACCCATAATTCAAAGCACCCCGCTTTAGCTTCTGGCCCCGTAGTTTACCAGGACCAGCTTGATGATGCAAAGTTTGAATTTTTATCCGACAAGGGTAAGTTGTTGCTCAATTCAATTATTGGGTCACCTTTGCATGAATTGAATGGTTTTTTCAACTCTGTTAAGTTTGAGTTGCTTGAGGTTGATTTTCCCAGCCTGTTGAAAGCTTTGGACCGTTCTGGGAACTGGGAGAGGGCTCTTTTGCTCTTTGAATGGGGTTGGTTGAATTTTGGGAGTGAACAAAATTTGAGGTTGGACAATCATGTTGTTGAATTGATGGTTAGGATATTGGGGAGAGAGTCACAGCATTCAATTGCATCCAAGTTGTTTGAATTAATTCCTGTGGAGCTATACTCACTTGATATCCGGGCTTACACCACTGTTCTTCATGCTTATGCTCGCACTGGCAAGTATAAACGGGCTATTGAGTTGTTTGGAAAGATGAAGGAGTTCGGTCTTGATCCAACTTTGGTTACTTACAATGTTATGCTTGATGTTTTTGGCAAGATGGGTCGTTCGTGGAGTAGAATCTTGGAGTTGTTGGCCGAGATGAGGAGTAAAGGGCTTGAGTTTGATGAGTTTACCTGCAGCACTGTGATTTCAGCTTGTGGAAGAGAGGGTATGCTAGATGAAGCTAGGAAGTTTTTCGCTGAATTGAAATTGAATGGCTATAAGCCAGGAACTGTTACATATAATTCTATGCTGCAGGTTTTTGGAAAAGCTGGAATATACACTGAGGCTTTGAGCATCTTGAAAGAAATGGAGGATGATAATTGCCCTCCTGATTCTGTTACTTACAATGAGCTTGCGGCAACATATGTAAGAGCTGGGTTTCTCGATCAAGGGAAGGCTGTGATAGATACAATGACAAGCAAAGGGGTAATGCCAAATGCCATTACTTATACAACTGTAATAGATGCCTATGGTAAGGCGGGTAGGGAGGACGAAGCATTAAGATTGTTCAGCCAAATGAAGGACTCGGGTTGTGCTCCCAATGTATACACGTACAACTCTGTTCTTGCCATGCTAGGCAAGAAGTCAAGAACAGAAGATGTTATTAAGGTTCTCTGTGAGATGAAATTGAATGGATGTGCTCCTAATCGAGCTACATGGAACACCATGCTTGCTGTATGCAGTGAGGAGGGTAAGCGCAATTATGTTAATAAGGTCTTAAGGGAAATGAAAAACTGTGGATTTGAGCCGGACAAAGACACATTCAATACATTGATTAGTGCATATGCTCGGTGTGGATCTGAAGTTGATTCTGCAAAAATGTATGGGGAAATGATTAAAGCAGGCTTTACACCATGTGTAACAACTTATAATTCTCTTCTAAATGCCCTTGCTCGGCAAGGAAATTGGAAAGCAGCAGAATCTGTCATTCTGGACATGCGATGTAAGGGCTTCAAGCCTAACGAAACTTCATACTCACTGTTGCTCCACTGTTATTCCAAGGCTGGGAATGTCAAGGGGATAGAGAAGATTGAGAAAGAAATTTATGATGGTCACGTCTTTCCTAGTTGGATTCTTTTAAGAACCCTTATCCTATCACATCACAAATGCAGACACCTTAGGGGAATGGAAAGGGCATTTGATCAATTGCAAGAGTATGGATACAAACCTGATTTGGTTGTCATTAACTCCATGCTTTCAATGTTTGCCCGGAACAAGATGTTTTCTAAGGCCCATGAAATGATGCATTTTATTCATGAAAGTGAATTGCAGCCAAATCTTTTCACCTATAACTGCCTGATGGATTTGTATGTCCGAGAGGGTGACTGTTGGAAAGCAGAAGAAGTACTCAAGGAAATTCAAAACACTGGTCCAGAGCCAGATGTTGTGTCTTATAATACTGTTGTGAAGGGATTTTGTAGAAAAGGGCTAATGCAGGAGGCTATTAGAGTTCTCTCAGATATGACCACTAAGGGGATTCAACCAACTATAGTTACATACAATACTTTCTTGTCAGGCTATGCAGGGATGGAGTTGTTTGATGAAGCAATTGAAGTGATTAGATTTATGATTGAGCACAATTGCAGGCCAAGTGAACTAACTTACAAGATTGTAGTTGATGGTTACTGTAAAGCAGGGAAGCATGAACAAGCCATGGACTTTGTGTCTAAGATTAAGGAGATTGATATCTCTTTTGATGATCAATCTGTAAAAAGACTATGTTCCTGCATTAGGGAGAAAGTGGGATCTGTTTTGTGAACTATCCTTTTGGGCTTCCTTTTTCTTTAATCTTTCTGCACGTATAGTTAGTTCCTCTCCTAAATACAATTCCATCAATTGTTGCAAATCTTTAGCATTAAATTATGAATGCAGAATCATGCAGTGATATAACCTGGTGCAGGGGATTCTGGTAGGTAATTGCAAATAATCTAACACTCTAGTTATCCATAACTAAAAGGAAAAGAAATTGCATAAATTTTCAGTGTTGCAGGAATTATTATATCTAAAAAATAACATATAATCTTACTTTTTCTCTCTTAAAAATAATTTAAAACCGCACAACTTACCAAGGTGTATGTCTAGGTTAAAGTATAAAACTTAAAAAAAAAAATTACATGAAGAAAAATGTCACCTTGAACTTATGTAAGAATTATAAATAATTCATTATTTACTATTTGAAGATAAGAATTTAAAGTAAGAGTGCCAAACTTTAATGACTTTTAATCTTATACAACATTTTGAAAAATCATATATGTCATCTTGTTTTGTACAAATAAAATATTATTATTATTTATAGGTTTATAGAACATGTTAAAAAAAGTTTCCTTAGGTGGCTAGAAAGAAGCAAAACAAATTCATTGAGGGTCGCGAACCTATGTGTTCAAGAATAATAACAAGAAACAGAGGAAAAGTTAGAAATTCCATGTGCATAAAATAGCATAATTTTTAAGTTAGTTTATGACACATTTTGTTAGAATATATTCAAAATTAACTAATAATTTTTTTTAAAGGTTCTAATTCATTTGTTGTAATAAATAACATTTTTATAATCAGAAAAAATTATACTACAAAAAAAATGCTTATTATCTACGGGTAAAATCCGTAGGTAATGCACTTACCTTAATAAAATATTTTTATTTATTACAAACCCCTCCCTTTATATTTTTGAAACTTTGAATTATTATTAGATTAAGGGAATTGTCATTGGCGGGATTCAAACCCGATACTTGAGTTAGAGGTCGATACTCCAACCACTAAGCTTATTAGGTTGTTTTGAAAATAATTTACAAATAAATTATATTTATATATATCCAGTGTAAATATATAAATATAAAATATATAAATATAAAATATATAAATATAAAATATATAAATATAAAATATATAAATATAAAATATATAAATATATATAAAATATAAATATTTTATATTTATATATTTTATATATTTATATATTTATATATTTATATATTTATATATTTATATATTTATATATTTATATTTATATATTTATATATTTATATATTTATATATTTATATATTTATATATTTATATATTTATATATTTATATATTTATATATTTATATATTTATATATTTATATATTTATATATTTATATATTTATACATTTATATATTTGTATTTATATATTTATATATTTATATTTATATATTTATGTATTTATATATTTATGTATTTATATATTTATGTATTTATATATTTATGTATTTATATATTTATGTATTTATGTATTTATATATTTATGTATTTATATATTTATGTATTTATATATTTATGTATTTATATATTTATGTATTTATATATTTATGTATTTATATATTTATGTATTTATATATTTATATATTTATATATTTATATATTTAAATATTTATATATTTAAATATTTATATATTTAAATATTTATATATTTAAATATTTAAATATTTATATATTTAAATATTTAAATATTTATGTATTTATATATTTATGTATTTATATATTTATATAGTTATATATTTATATATTTATATATTTATATATTTATATATTTTATATTTATATATTTATATATTTTATATTTATATATTTATATATTTTATATTTATATATTTATATATTTATATTTATATATTTATATATTTATATATTTACACGGATTAATATAAGTATAATTTGGTAGTAGGTAATTACCTACGGATTTATAATCCGTAGGTAATGCATTCGCGGTAATTACCTACGGATTTATAATCCGTAGGTAATGCACTCGCGGACATTACCTACGGATTTATAATCCGTAGGTAATGCACTCGCGGACATTACCTAGGATTTATAATCCGTAGGTAATGCACTCGCGGACATTACCTAGGATTTATAATCCGTAGGTAATGCACTCGCGGACATTACCTACGGATTATAATCCGTAGGTAATGGATAATTACTCACGGATAGAATTCCGTAGGTAATATCCGTAGGTAATATCCGTAGGTAATGTACACTTTACCTACGGATAGTAATTACGTAGGTAATTACCTACGGAATTATCTACGGATTACATTACCTACAGATAATATCCGTAGGTAATGAATAATTATCTATGGATAGAATTCCGTAGGTAATATCCGTAGGTAATGTACAATTTACCTACGGATTTTCATCCGTAGGTAATTTCCGTAGGTAATGTAAAATTTACCTACGGATTTTTATCCGTGGGTAATATTCGTAGGTAATGTAAAATTTACCTACGGATTTGTATCCGTAGGTAATATTCCGTAGGTAATAGGCTTTTTTTTTGTAGTATATTGACTTAGTTTTCAACTTTTATAAAAAATATTTTTCACACGGATTAAAATGTATATATTTTGTTTTATGTTTGTTTACAGCAAATCAGATCAGATTTGTTGTTCTGGTTTTTCAATAAAAAATTTTACACAGTGAAATTATTTTTTATTTTTGTGTTTAATAATGACACTTCTATTTTTATTTTAATATTTAAAATAAATGTTATTAATCTATCTTAAATAAATGTTAGAAGGTAATTTCGAAATTTCTGAGACTAAGAACATAACTCACAATACTTGAGTTTTAGAAGAATAAAAGATAAAAAAAAAATTATTGTAAAAATCAAATTTTACTTAAACATATATTGAAATTGAAAATAAATTTGTTAGCCATAAATATATCTAGACAAACTGCATGGTTTATTTGATTATTGAGAGAATTTTAATTCTTTCTGATATATATGAAAAAAATAAAAATAAAACTACTTATTAACAAAATATTTTTCTTTCAAAATATCTTCAATCTGCGTAAATTAATCACTGACCCCAATTTTGTATAAACATAGATATTTCTTTAAAAATTTCTATTTGGTCCTTCAATAATTAGATTAGGTATCGTGTCATCTAATTATTAAATTAAATGTGCATGAGATATTTTGTACATAGACTAAAATATCTACATACAACACTGTCACATGGCTCACATGATGAATTGGGCACTGAATTTGGATATTCATAAAAATAGAACAACATAAATTCCTTTTTCTCACGACTTTGTGTGTGTGGAGATTGCATGGTCCACATAGAAAAAGTCAGGATAAATTCTTTTGTTAGATCTAGTTAAGCAAATTTAATTGGATTAGGATTTAATTAACTATAATCTGTTTAGACCAAATTAATATTTTTAATTAGTGTTGGAAATCTTACATCGCCTACCTCATATCAATTGGTATGGTTTAAACACATGTTAGGCTACTCCACATATTACCAATTGATTTTATGTTGGAATTTTAACATGGAATCAGAGACAAGCCTAACATCTTTTCCGTTATTGTCTTTGGCCAAAAGTTATCCTTTCGTTGGGTCAAAAGTACTCTTTGTCTGATACAACAGAATTTGTTAGAGGGAACGTGTTGAAAATCTCACATCGCTTATCTCATATCATTTGATATGATTTAAATCCATGTTAGACTACTCTAACAATTAGGTGTGTTGGTGTTATACTTTTCATAAATACTAGGAAACAAGTAACTTTCTACTTCAACAACTACATCGTACCTACAAACGTAAATTGAAGAATTCCTTCTTCCAAATAGCTTTTCCTTTACATGCACTAAAACTTAATGTGACTCATTTTAAGAGAAAACCAACTCAAATAAGCATTTAAAACCAAGACTCAAAAAAGTAGATTCTTCACTATCCATCATAGAATCATAGCTATTCTTTTCTTCCTTCAATTTTCTCCAAACGTAGCCACTTATACTCGAACAAGGCAAAATATACGTAAGAAATTTACCAACTCTTTTCCCTAATTCCTAACAAAAAGACAAGCATATGAAAAAAAAAAAAAAGTGCTTTTGTGCTAAGCACGATACAACGTAGTAGAAAGACACGAAAGGACGTTATTTGAAACGTTGCATGATAACATATTTAACTGTCTATATCAAATAGAAACCATTGTCAAGATGATTATTATTTTTTTAAATATGATATATATATATATATAATTTTTTTTAATTTAAGTGACACTCATATTTTCTTATATTATTAATCTATTTAGAAGAATCTTCTTATATTTATATTTATGAAAATTGAAGAAATCGAGAATATTAGATTTTAGGTATGTTAGGATAAGATTATTAAAATTAATTTTTATATTTGAGATATTATAATTTTATCTCTAAAAAACATCTCAATTAATTAAAAAAAAAACCAAAATTTTATCTGTTAATTATGACATGTGACGCTACACTTATATCACATTTTTTTACCTTTAACACCAAATTATTACCCCTCTATAAAATGCATGAGTTCACGTGGTACAAAATTGATTGCGTGGTGCCACTGGAATGATTTAATGAAAAGGAAAATATGATTAATTGGTTTTGAATTTTGAAAAGTTAGGTTTAGTTTTAAAAGGAAAGAAAAGCAGAAAGTGGGTACCTTTCCAAATCATCCACACTTTACAACTAGGATCACAAGGCAGAAAAAATTAGTTAGAAAATAAAGATAAATTTTATGCTTATTTTGGTTTTTTACAGAAATATTGAATTATTTGTTTTAATTTTAAAATGCATCACTATTGATTCTCCAAATGTTATCTAAATCACTTTTTTTTTAATTTTATAAAATATTGTTTACAAGAATTAAAACTGATGTATTTTAAAATTAGAGAGAAAAACAAAATTTTTTAGAGACGTTAAAACTGAATTTTGACAATTTTTAGAAGGATTACAAATTTATTTTACTAAAATAAAAGTTTTAAATAATTAATAAATTACAATTTAAAAATATTGGATGAGAAATTAATTGTAATTAATGGAAACACAAGTATATATATATATATATATATATATATATTTGTGTATGTCTTTTTATTTTTATTTTAAAGTATAAATATTTATTTATGAAATTGTAAATTGTTGAAAATAAATACATATAAGGCAGAATTAATAGAAAAAATTTAAAGAGTGTAATTAAGGGAGTAAGGAAATGATAATAGTTATTATTAATTTTACTTATTTTTTATATTAGAGAGAAAATAATAAGAAAATATATTATTAAAAAATAGAAAAATATAACAGATATAAATTATATTTTTTCTTTTTTTATGAAAATATTTTTCTTTTATATATTTATAGATAATAATTTTTTATAATCATAAAAGTAAAAAAAGAGAGTAAAATGTAACCTATATATATATATATATATATATATATATATATATATATATATATATATAAATGAAAAATATTTTACAATAGTAAAAATTACTGCATTTGTTAAAATATTTTTTAAAAATAAATTTGTTACCTTATTATATAAAGTGGATAATTCTTATATTTATATATATATATATATGATTAAAGAAGATGATGACATGTATTTAAGGATCACAAAACGGTACGCCGTCCGTTCCGTTTTTAGTCCGCCAAAAGCGGCGTGGGACCGTTAACCCGTTATGATTATAACGGGTTGTAGACCTTAGTCCGTCCCTGTCAAAGGGTGGGTTGTCGACTCGATTCGTTATAATTTAGAAAAAATAATTTATTTTTTAAAATAATTTTTTTAATAAATTTAATAATAAGATTATTATTTGTTTGTCAATAATTCAATATATATATATATATATATATATATATATAATTTTAATTTAATAATATAAATCAATACATTATTTAAAAAAATTATAATTTAGAACAATAATAAAATTTATATAATAATAAATAATAATAATATATATATATATATATATATATATATAAATATAAATAACGTTAAAACTTATAAATTTTATATTTTTTATATTAAAAAATTTAAATATTTATATATTTTTTATTTGATAAAACTCCACATTATTCTTAGTTGAGTAATTCTTACACCTTTAATTTAAGTCATAAAGATAAAAATAATCATTGCTTAAGATGAATAAGGAGAACAAGAGAATGTTATGTTTTAATAAGGAGAATTTTTTATGTGAGAGTGAAAATTTTTTAATTCTCTTTTTAAAATTTTTAACTTTATATATTATCTTTATAATTAATTTTATTATAATAAAAAATTATTTTTTTATTAATTAGGCGGATCACGTGGTCTGTCTACCTCGTCTTGCAAATTGTCCCAATGAGTTAGTGGGCTTGACGAGACAGGATGGGCCAAAGCGGGTTGGTGGACTGAAAATACCAACCCGTCCGACCATTTTATGACGATATGAACTGCCGGACCTGACCCGTTTTACCATTTTACAATTAATATAAGAATTCTTTTTTTTTTTTTGGGACAAAAAACAAAAATATCACGTCGAAATTTCTCCTCTCTCTTCTTGTATTTTTGTGGAACTTTTGTGATTGACCAGAAGTGGAAAGATAAGAGATAGATTTTTGCACCAGAAAGTGTGTTTGGCCGCGGTGAGTGCCCACCAGAGTGCCGTGTGGCAAGTCCACGTGCGAAAGAAAAGAAGAGCGTCATCCACTTTCTCTTTCTGGAAATCCCTCAGTTTCTTACCCAAATTCCTCTCCACTCCTTTTTTGCCTTCTCAGTCTCTTCTTCCATTTCCATTCTTCTTCAATTCTCTCAACAGCAGCAACTACAACTAACCGCCCTCTTCTTACTTCACCACTCCTTCACTCCCTTCTCCATGGGCTGAACTTCAACCCTTTTCCTTCAATGGAGTGGGACAGCAATTCCGATCTCAGCGCCGACGACGACGATGACGTTTCCTTTAACCTCAACGACGACGATGAGAACGGCGTCGGGCCCCTTCCTTTCCCCGTCCTCCAGACCGCTCCCTGCGGCTTCGTCGTCACCGATGCGCTCGAGCCCGACCATCCTATTATATACGTCAACGCCGTTTTCGAGATGGTCACTGGCTACCGCGCAGAAGAAGTGCTCGGTCGCAACTGGTTAGTGCCTCTGTATAGATTTCTCCTCCTTAGGTTTAGGTTTTTCGCTCTGCCTCCAAACCCTAGGAAACCGTGTTATGTTGTGTAATTCAATGTAGTGGTCGTGGTACTGGATGCTGGTATTCGATTGAATTTGGAATTGTGTTGTGCGTGTTTTGGTTTTGTGAAGGGATTCAGATTTGATTGGTGTGTCGTGAAATGGTAATTTAATCATGGAGTGAAATAGGACACCCTTGGAATTTTAATTAATGGATGTTACGGCGTTGGGTAATTTGATGCTCGTGGTACTGGATGCTGGTAGTCGCTTGAATTTTGGAATAGTGTTCTGCGGGTTTGGGGTTGTGAACGGATTCGGATTTTGATTTGTGTGTGTTGTGAAATGGTAGTTTGATCATGGAGTGAAACAGGAAACCGTTGGAATTTTAATTGATGGATGTTACGGCGTTGTGTGATGTAATGTTCGAGGTACTGGATGCTGGTAGACGCTCGACTTTGGCATTGTGTTGTGCTGGTTTAGGGTTTGTGAACGGATTCGGATTTTTACTTGTGTGTTTTGAAATGGTAGTTTAATGATGATAATTTTGTTGTCTCTGTGTCGAGCGATGCAATTTTTTTGTTCTATGGTGGAGAACTGGTTTGGGGATTTAGGATTGGGAAAATTAAATTGGTATTGAGCTTGATGAGATGCCAATTTTTTTCTTATTTTAGTAATGGTATGTTTTCCCACAAGTTTTTCTAATACTTAATGTTAAAAGTGTTAAACGAAAAGTTAAATACATTTTTAATATATTGGAAACTTTAAAAGCACTCATCTCTTTATTTATTTAGTAAGTAGGAGAGTTAGTAAGAAGAATTTATAGGAGGATTTTCGTTTATCCTTTCTTCTCTTTTTGACTTGCAATATGCCCCTAAACTCCACTGTTTGGAAACTGTGAATGATTTTGGGTGCTAACTAAGACAGATTCTGAAAATGGTCATTTCCAGATTGGCGAGTGTGTAAAGGATTTTACTTTGTTTTAAGTACTTTGATCATCTTTATTATTTTGGTCCTTTGATTGAAGGGGGTTGCTCAACATAAAGGTGTTTCCTTCTAAGATTTACCATGAAAAGAAAGACTGGCCATTTATTCTCTTTAAAATTTAGAGTTTTTGCTAATAATTTGTGCGGTTGTATGAAATGTAAATATCAGCTCTAAAAGGCATTTTTGATGGTAACTTTTATTTTCCCTTTGTTTTTCTTAATGTTCATAATATGATGAGGATGTGGATATTTATAATTGTTGGATTTATCTTGTCTTATGCTTTACTATTAAGGTGACTCTCAATATTCAAATCTAAGAAATGGTTGTAGTTTCTTGACAGTAATTTGATTGGAGATTCAATTTTCTCTCTCTTATTCCTCCTGCAAGTGTTGTATGTTGTGTTTGCATTGGCATGCTTAGAATGACTAAGCTGGAGTGTTAAAGTATTAACATTGCTACACTTGGCTTGTAGATAGTTGGGACTGAGGTGCGTTGGTGTTTTGTATTTACAAATTTAGGGCTTATTCGAATAAACTTTTCCATAAGAACTTTTAAGAGAGGAAATAAGAAGAAAAAACAAAAGAAGCTTCTCCATAAGCTAAATTTAGACGTTCTCCTACGTTTGCTTTTCTTAATGATGATTTTTAACTCGTACATAAACTAATTTTAGTTTATGGAAAAGTTTATTTCATCTTTCCTTAGTTTTTTCTCCTAAATTTGCTTACGAAGAAGCTTATCCAAGCCTGTTCTTAGCTTATAACCTGTGTTGTAATAAATTTGAAGCAATTTTTTTGAGGAAATAGAATGAGTAACCTGAGCACTACACTGGGGAGAAAAAGAAAAAAAGAAGGCAAAAGAGTATTATGTGTAAGCAAATAAGCAATACATGCTGGTCCTTTATGACATGTCTGTCTTGCTTAAGTCTCTACTACTATGCATTTCTAATTCAATTTGTCTTTGTTCTAATTATTTAAAATATTTTGCAGTCGTTTCTTGCAGTGTCGTGGTCCATTTGCTAAGAGAAGGCATCCATTAGTGGACTCATCTGTTGTTTCAGAGATTAGAAGATGCCTTGAGGAAGGCGTTGAATTCCAAGGTGAGTTGCTGAACTTTAGGAAAGATGGATCTCCACTTATGAACAGATTGCATCTGACACCTATATATGGAGATGATGAGATAACTCATGTAATTGGAATCCAGTTCTTCACAGAGGCAAACATTGATCTTGGTCCCCTTACTGGTTCTAAGATTAAGGAATATACCAAGTCATCAGATCAGTTTCGTTTGGTGCTTTCCTCGTTGAGTCCTCTTCATGTTGGGGACCGTAATGTTACTCATGGAGTCTGCGGGATATTGCAATTAAGTGATGAGGTATTGTCTCTCAAGATACTTGCTCGCTTGACTCCAAGGGATATTGCATCTGTTGGTTCTGTTTGTAGGCAGTTGTATGAGATAACAAAAAATGAAAACCTTTGGAGAATGGTATGCCAAAATGCTTGGGGCAGTGAGACTACACGTGTTTTAGAGACTGTGCCTGGTGCGAGGAGACTTGGATGGGGTAGGCTGGCAAGAGAACTGACCACTCTTGAAGCAGCAGCATGGAGGAAACTGACTGTTGGAGGTGCTGTTGAACCTTCACGCTGTAATTTTAGTGCTTGTGCAGTTGGTAATAGAGTTGTCCTATTTGGTGGTGAGGGGGTTAACATGCAACCTATGAATGATACGTTTGTGCTGGATCTCAATTCTAGTAATCCTGAGTGGCAACATGTCCAGGTGAGTTGTCCTCCCCCTGGTCGGTGGGGCCACACATTATCTTGTGTTAATGGTTCTCATTTGGTTGTGTTTGGAGGCTGTGGAAGGCAGGGCTTGCTTAATGATGTGTTTGTTCTGGACCTGGATGCAAAGCCTCCAACCTGGCGTGAAATTTCTGGATTAGCACCTCCACTTCCGAGATCTTGGCATAGCTCCTGTACTCTTGATGGTACTAAGTTGATAGTTTCTGGTGGCTGTGCTGATTCTGGAGTACTCTTGAGTGATACTTTTCTTCTTGATCTGTCGATGGAGAAACCTGTCTGGAGAGAGATTCCAGTTGCATGGACTCCACCTTCGCGTCTGGGTCACACACTATCCGTATATGGTGGTAGGAAAATACTGATGTTTGGGGGGCTGGCCAAGAGTGGACCCCTGCGATTTCGCTCCAGTGATGTATTCACGATGGATTTAAGTGAGGAGGAGCCATGCTGGAGATGTGTGACGGGTAATGGAATGCCAGGTGCTGGAAATCCTGGAGGCGTAGCTCCTCCTCCTAGACTTGATCATGTGGCTGTGAGCCTTCCAGGTGGGAGAATTCTGATATTTGGTGGGTCTGTTGCAGGCCTTCATTCTGCCTCCCAGCTTTACATACTAGATCCGACTGATGAAAAGCCTACATGGAGAATCCTAAACGTACCTGGGCGCCCTCCAAGATTTGCTTGGGGACATAGTACTTGTGTTGTTGGAGGGACAAGGGCTATTGTACTGGGTGGTCAAACTGGGGAGGAATGGATGCTAAGTGATCTCCATGAACTTTCCTTAGCATGCTCTGTCATCTAAATCCAGTTAATAAACGGGCTTGCTATAGCGAGGGGAATGTTAATCATAAAATCGTTTGAAGGCCGAAAAGATTTGTGTTGATCACCAATAAGTCTTGACAAGTACTTCTCTGGTCAGAACATATGTGTATTAGGTCGATTCTAGGTTGCACTTTCATTTTCTGTTAGTTCTGGCCTGAGAACTTTTCATTGAGTGACAACACAAAACCTTGTCTGGTTTTTACGTGGCTGTGAGACTTTTCCCTCCAGTATGCACTATGAATTATTCTTCCTGAATGATTAGTGTCTGGTAACTAGTAGGTAATATATTAGGGTTGTGGCTTACTTGATTTCCCCTTCTGTGGCTTTGTTCAAATTATGTAATTTGAACCATGACAAAGGATAGAAAAAAATATATAATGTTTATAGTAATATAATTAGGTCTATTGTATGTAATGGAAGTCTCTACTTCTGCTTTATGCTTTTGAACAAGTCAGCTGACATGGTCATAAATTTGTTGTAATGATACGTGCCACTGAAAAAACAGGTGTACAAGGTAGGGAACCCTGTAGTCTGTACATATTTTTCTTTATTTTTTGATAATAGGGAGTATGGTAACCTTTGTTTGGATTATTGTTATTTTTCTCTTGTCATAATTGTGTTTAATGGCATTGCTGTGATATATTTGGTCATGATTAATGATCCTTCCCTAGATAAGTGTTAAAAACCCCTAAGGATTGTTCAACAAAAATGTCAAGATTTGTTTGGTTCAGATTTGCCACAGTTAAATTAAAAAGTAAGTTCAGAAAAACGATTTTCTGCGAATCATAAAATATATGATGTTTTCTTAGGAAATAATTTTACTAAAGAAAATTTAGAAATTTTTACTTACCTTGCAATTAATGTTTTTCACTGTAATACGTTGGGGTCGTGAATAGTATCGGGAATGCTTAAAAGAAAAGGATTGTTTAATAGGTTGGTCAAGACAATGTTCCATATATATGGGAATGTTGACATGCTGTTAGACATGGCGTATTAGTTACAATTAGCATAAAATTATTACACAAATCTTTTTTCCATTTTGATAGTAACTGAGTAAATTTTTTAAATAATAGTTTGTGTTTTAAAAGAAAAATTAATTTACGTATAAGATAGTTTTATATAAAACTATTTTTAAAAAATTATTTAAATATTTATAGTTCTGAGTACTTGATTTGTTTTATTATCAGTGTAGCTATTTGAGTATTTTTCAAAATGCAAATTTATATTTAAAAAAATGTGTGTAAAAATAATCTGAGTCTTCATCTAAGTGTTTGAGAATTAAATGTATAATTGACGTTGAATATAAAGACATGTTTATATTATCCTATTATATTTTATTTATTTATTTAGAAGTTCTTATAATGATTATTTATTATTCACTATTTGAATCTTATTTTTTATTATAATAATTTTTTTATAACTAATGAATAATGAATTTTAATTTTATGAAAAGTTTTTTTTCATTAAAAAATACAAAACCGTTCTCACCAATCAAAATATCTAAAAAAAACCAAAACCCTTGAAGATTAAAAAAGACAATTTATTTGTCATCCACAATTATTATTATTATAATTAAACTTCATAACATAATAAAAAAATATTACCAGCAATTAATAATATAAAATAAATTTATAAGAATTTAAATGCAACTTTAAATATTTATTAAGAATAATTTATTTTAAATTTTTTATAATATTTTTACTATTATAAAATTTTGTAATACAAATAAAAAAAATGTAATTAAACCAAAAAAATAAAAAGAACAGCGTCATCTACTACTTTCTTTTGCTGAAACAACCTCAACTCACCCCTTTCTTAGCTAAATTGCTCGCCACTCGTTTTATGCCTTCTCAATCTCATCATCGAATTCAACTGTTTCATCCTCTCAACAACACCGACTAAGCAGTACGTCACGACACAACGCCACGCTCTTACCTCCACCATCACTTTATTTTACGCACCCTCTCTCCGATTCCCACCGCTCCCTCTACCACGCGCCCTCATATGGGGTGACTTCCAACCTCCGCCGCGATTCCGTTTCCCTTCTATGGAGTGGGACAGCAATTCCGATCTCAGTGGCGACGACGACGCCGTTTCCTTCCTCCTCAACGACGATGATGACGACGTCGTCGGGCCCCTTCCCTTTCCCGTCCTCCAAACCGCGCCGTGCGGCTTCGTCGTAACCGACGCGCTCGAGCCCGACCACCCTATCATATACGTCAACGCTGTTTTCGAGATGGTCACCGGCTACCGCGCAGAAGAAGTGCTCGGTCGCAACTGGTTAGTACCTGTCTCCTGATTTCTCTCCTTAGGTTTAGGTTTTTCGCTCTGCCTTCAAACCCTAGGAACCGGTGGAACTTTAATGGATAGATGTTAGGGCGTTATGTAATCTAATGCTCGTGGTACTGCTGGTATTTTGGAATTGTGTTGTGTTTGTTTGGGTTTATAAAGGGGTTCGGATTTTGATTTGTGCGTGTTGTGAAATGGTAGTTTAGTCATGGAGTGAAAGTGTTCGGGTTTGGTATGTCATTTAATCGTGATAGCTTTTAGAAATTTTGTTGTCCCTGTCAGTGCTGCATTGTTTTGTTGAAGTAGTTCGGGTAAGGGATTGAGAAATTAAATTGGTATTGAATGTTATGAGATTCTAATTTTTAATTTTATTTGAGAAATTTTATTTTTCTTAAAAATCTTTCTAATACTTTACGAGGGAAGTGTTAAATGAAAATTTAAATACATTTCTGATGTATTTGAAATATTAAAGGCACTCAATACTTTCTATATTTAGTGAGATTTTATAGAATGCTTTTCAACTATTCTTTATCCGTTTTTGGCTTCAAGTCCTGAAACTCCACTGTTTGGGAACTGTGAATGATTTTGGGTGATGGTCATTTTCAGATTGGTGCCCTGAGGAAAGGATTTTAAGTACTCTTAGTCATTTTATTTTGGTCCTTTGATCGAAGGGGTTTGGGGTCCAGTTTTGTATAATGAACTTATATATGGTTGATGCGAGGAAATGGTTTTTAATAGGGCAGGACCTATTTAATGTCTTTCTTTATTTTCGTTTTTATATTTTATTTTTCTGGTTTTGTTGTACTAACAGTTGGTTAGTGTAGAAAAATTACGAACATTGAAGCTTGTCAGGTTTTAAAATTGGTTGAAATCAGCAGAATTAGAGAGGTAAAATGAATTAATTGAAGTATAGTGTGGCCACCACAATCCTAGTAATTACTAATTATAGACATGGTGGTTCCTTGCTTGTATCTCTTCTATGGTATGTTTGTATGAGAGGATTTAAATCGAGGAAAGAGAAGACCAATGAAGGTGTTTTTTTGTTTGGTTGAAGAGAAAGTGGAAAGAAAAGGGAGAAAAAGTTTATCTCCAAAAAATAAAATTGAAAAAATTCCTTCATTCTATGTCTTCTTCAATTCAAATTTCAAAATTTTCTCTCCTCCTACACTTTCTTTCCACCACATCAAACATAGCGTTCATGTTGTAAAACACAATTTCTGTGCTATTTTACTAAATCATATGTGCTCAGCTATGTGATTATTGAGTTTCAAATTATATGGTCTGAAGGATAGAAATCATTTGACCACATATTATAGTTGTTAGAACATGAATCAACAATTGGTGCAGGCTGGGGAGCAGATGTATGGGTTAATTTGCTCAGTGAGGAACGAAGTGTGACAAACAAGCTTTGGACCACCTAAAATATTTCCATTTCTTTTAGATTTTAGTGTATATAAATGAGTGTCTCAGCTGCAAACTTTTCCAAATATTTCTCAACCTAAAGAAATATTTTTCCTTCTACGATTTATCATAAAAAGAAAGTCTGGGCATTTATTCTCTTGAAGTATTCTCCCTGTTTATGGGAAGTTAATTCCACTGGAGAAAATAAAAAGAAGCACAACCTTAGGGAAGGTTGAAGAATAAGTGGTTCTCCAAAGTGCCACTGCTGATTTTTTTCCCTCCATAGTTTGAATTGGAGTTATTGTTGCTGTGATTTTGGTTCTGTAGGATTGAAAGCATTTTATTTAGCTAAGAATTAGTTTAACTATTACTGGATTTTGTTTCTTATGCTCTTGTGAATTGTTCTTGCTAAAGGCTTGTTTGATGCCGGAGTTCTTTGGTAGGATATGTTATATTGCTCTAGTAGGCTGTAAGATGAAAAAAGTAGTTTTAATTGTATAAAACCTAAACAAGGTAGGCTGATATGGGATTTCGGTTGTAAAGAGAAGGAAGCAAAAAGAGAGAGAAAGAGGGAAGAAGGATGAGGAACAGAACAGAGAGGATAGAGAGAGACTAGTGAAACTGAGAGATCAAATAATACTAATATTATTATATCATTCCAATGTGTAAAATATATAACAATCATCTTTATTCATAGGCATCTTCTGAACAGCTATAAATCCTAATTAACTGTATTTGAATAACTAACCAAATAAAATTATTTTCCTATTTATATGTACATAAGAATTCTCTCTACCCCAGAAAAGCAGGACCCCTACCTGTAAGGGTCTTGAACTTCAAATTGGATGGAAAATCTGATACATGCAGTATGTAAATCTGATACATGGAGTGCTGAGTAAGTCTTACTTCTGTATATGGGTGTGGAAGGGCCTTAAACTGGGGATACTTGCTCAAACCATCAATCATGACCCAAATTGTATCCTTGCCACTGTAGTAAAAACAAAAATTCTGGGCTGTGTTAAATTTCTTCAGTGAAAGCTTTGAATGTATCTTAAAGGTGTTATCAATTAGTAGGATAATCGTTTATGTTATGATCCTATTGATTAGCAATATCTCTGTAGCCTTTTAAAGGGTAGACCTGATTGGAATAAAATATTGATAAATTATTTTCAAAAATACTGGTGTTAGTTAATCTAGGAGGAACATTGTCACGGACAAGTTCTTTTCTTGCTTTTGCTATAGATTGTGAGAAAGGTTCTTGCTTGTCTAGGCTTGTGACTTGATCCTATAGATGGTTCATGAAACTTGGTGAAGAGATAGCATGAGCGACACAGAATTTAGTAGTAAAACTAGATGCCTTCATGGAGCATATGGTAACTAGGAAATATGCACGTGAAGAATAGATGGATGAGCTGTCCATGGTCACTTGAGGAACAATTGAAGGGTCTCAGTAGGAGAAACAACCAATGGTAATCAAGGACATAGAGGTCCAAAAATTAGAAAAAAAATCCCAGCTGGGGGTTCCATGGTTAGAGGATATTCCAAAATGGAATTTCCCACTTAAGAGGCCATGAAGATCGCTTAGGATGTTGAAATGCTATGAAAGATTTTACAAATCAATAAAATTCTAAAGGAGACAGGGGGACTGGTTGCATTTCATATCTAAGGATAAGCTCAATTATGGTTTAAGTGATGAACAAGAGGAACCAAAACTGGATTGGAGCCATTTTAAGGAATGTTGTCAAGTACAATTTGGACCACCTATGAGTGACAATCCCCTGGTCAAACTGGCCAATATAAAGTAGACAGATTTTATGGAAGATTATCAACATCATTTCTGGCAGTTGCACTCACTTATGAGTAATAATCCCCTGGGTGAACTTGCCAATATATAATGTCTTTTTCTGTAGTCATCGCATACTGATTCATTTTGCCACCTGCTCAAATCATATGTATTGTTTGACAAATTGTATGAAACTAATAGCACTGGTTAGGATAGTTACCAAATTAATTAGACAGTTAGAAGTTGTTAGGAGCAAAGGCATAGCTCAAATCATGTTATTTTCTCCCATCTTCTGTAAAGGAGGATGTCTTCCACCCTCTCTTGTTTTCGCCTATTTCTCTGTGCTAAAATTAATGTTTTTTTACCAAAAATTGTCAAAATTGGATGCCTTCATGGCTTTGGTTTTCCAGCTTTCAGTGTCCAGTGCTTATAGCGTTGATAGGTAAAATATGTTATTAATATTAAAGATCAAATGCATTAGGAAGTCAATTTTTGAAATAATGTCATTCTTATGTTAATTTAAATAAGATATTTTATATATTTTTTTTTCAATTTGTTTTGATAGTTGTATGCTGTTTATATCTTTATGAATTGCTTCTCTTGCTATCTAGTACACTTTTATGATGCTATCTGCTTTAGAAGTTGTTTTGGCTACCAGATTATAGAATATAAGTTTTTTTGAGATAAATGAAAGATTTGTCATGTATGCCGAGAATTATAAATGCAATATTGCTGTTCAAAAATTTTAGTAACATTTGTAGGAGTAATTTGTATAATTATATTCATTGTAACTTCAAGAGAGAAATCTTCCTGTCTTCAATATTTTGTTAATTTTTTGTTTGGGACATTTTGAAGTTTTGACAGCCACTTGTCAATAGTTGTTTTAGATGTGGGAAATGTGTTGATCAAAGTGCATTGTTATATCCAATGAGGTGATGTAGGACAGAAGTGTCTCATTTTGTGGCTAACCGTTCAAGAATCTGGGGTGGTTGATAGCCTTAATGATGAATAAAAAAAAACACTTTAATTTGGTGCTTTGATGGGTTAGTTTTAAAAGGGAAATGGTTTATGTATGGATGGATTACTCTAGACTCTGGACCAACTTCTGGTCTGTTTAGGTGAGAGAAGTTATGAAAATATAGCTTTATGGTATAATAATAATTATGATAAATTGCTGGAAGGGTGTATTTTTGGTTTTTCATGTCAGAATTTTTTGTAATGCAGCAATCTGGGGGCAAGACTTTAAGACAATAACAAGTCATATAAGAATTTTGCTAAGAGAGGTAGATTAGGTATTGCGTGATAATATGTTGGATTTGTGTGAATTACAAATATCAGTTCCAAAGGAGTTCATAGTGGTGACTCACTTTTATTTTTTAATGTTTCTATTGCAACGAGGATCTGGATATAACTTTTGGGTTTATCATGTCTTTTGCTTTATGATTAAGGTGAATCTCAAGATTCAAAGCTAAGAAATGGATGTAGTTTCTTGAAAGTAATTATTTGGAGATTCATTTGCTCTCTCTTCTTCTCCCAGCAAGTATTGTTTCTTATGTTTGCATAGACATGCTAAGAATGACTAACCTGGGGTGTTAAAAATCATTTTATTGACTCTAGTCTTGACTTGTAGCTTCTTGGGACTGATGTCCATTGGTGTCTCGTGCAGACAGACATGGCTTAAGACTTGCATCTGTATTGTATTAAATTTAACGCTATTTTATTGACAAAGTAGGGAGAAAAAGAAAGAAAAATAAGGCAAAAGATGTTGCTCTATAAGCAAATATGCAATGCATATTGGCCCTTTGTGACATGTCTTTGCTGACGTCTCTACTCCTAAGTTTACCTAATTCAATGTGGCTTGTCTAATCATTCAAAATTTTTGCAGCCGCTTCTTGCAGTGTCGAGGTCCATTTGCTAAGAGAAGGCATCCATTGGTGGACTCAACTGTTGTTTCAGAGATTAGAAGATGCCTTGACGAAGGGGTTGAATTCCAAGGTGAGTTGCTGAACTTTAGGAAAGATGGATCTCCACTTATGAACAGATTGCGTCTGACGCCTATATATGGAGATGATGAGATAACTCATGTCATTGGAATCCAGTTCTTCACAGAGGCAAACATTGATCTTGGTCCCCTTCCGGGTTCTACGCCAAAGGAATCTACCAAATCATCAGATCGGTTCCATTCTGTGCTTTCCTCATTGAATCCTCTTCCAGTAGGGGACCGTAATGTTACTCGAGGAGTTTGTGGGATATTGCAATTAAGTGATGAGGTATTGTCTCTCAAGATACTTGCTTGTTTAACTCCAAGAGATATTGCATCAGTTGGTTCTGTTTGTAGGCGATTGTATGAGCTAACAAAAAATGAAGATCTTTGGAGAATGGTGTGCCAAAATGCTTGGGGCAGTGAGACTACACGTGTTTTAGAAACTGTGCCTGGTGCTAGGAGACTTGGATGGGGTCGATTAGCAAGAGAATTGACCACTCTTGAAGCAGCAGCATGGAGGAAACTGACTGTTGGAGGTGCGGTTGAACCTTCACGCTGTAATTTTAGTGCTTGTGCAGTTGGTAATAGAGTTGTCCTATTTGGTGGTGAAGGGGTTAACATGCAACCTATGAATGATACCTTTGTACTGGATCTCAATTCTAGTAATCCTGAGTGGCAACATGTCCAGGTGAGTTCTCCTCCCCCTGGTCGGTGGGGCCACACACTATCTTGTGTTAATGGTTCTCGTTTGGTTGTATTTGGAGGCTGTGGAACGCAGGGCTTGCTTAATGATGTGTTTGTTCTAGACCTGGATGCAAAGCCTCCAACCTGGCGTGAAATTTCTGGATTAGCACCTCCACTTCCGAGATCTTGGCATAGCTCCTGTACTCTTGATGGTACTAAGTTGATAGTTTCTGGTGGCTGTGCTGATTCTGGAGTACTCTTGAGTGATACTTTCCTCCTTGATCTGTCGATGGAGAAACCTGTCTGGAGAGAGATTCCAGTTGCATGGACTCCACCTTCGCGGCTGGGTCACACACTATCCGTTTATGGTGGTAGGAAAATACTAATGTTTGGGGGTCTGGCCAAGAGCGGGCCCCTGCGATTTCGCTCCAGTGATGTATTCACGATGGATTTAAGTGAGGAGGAGCCATGCTGGAGATGTGTAACGGGGAGTGGAATGCCAGGTGCTGGAAATCCTGGAGGCATAGCTCCTCCTCCTAGACTTGATCATGTGGCTGTGAGCCTTCCAGGTGGGAGAATTCTGATATTTGGTGGGTCTGTTGCAGGCCTTCATTCTGCCTCCCAGCTTTACATACTAGATCCGACTGATGAAAAGCCTACATGGAGAATCCTAAACGTACCTGGGCGCCCTCCAAGATTTGCTTGGGGACATAGTACTTGTGTTGTTGGAGGGACAAGAGCTATTGTACTGGGTGGTCAAACTGGGGAGGAATGGATGCTAAGTGAGCTCCATGAACTTTCCTTGGCAAGTTCTGTCATCTAAATTCAGTTAATAAGCGGGCATGCTGTTGTGAGGGGAATGCTAAAATCATGAAATCATTTAAAGGCGGAAAATGTTTGTGTTGGTCACTGAAAACTCTTGACAAGCACTGCTCTGGTCAGAACATTTGTGTATTAAGTTGTTTCTTCGTTGCATTTTATTTTATGGTTGGTTCTGGCTTGAGAACTTTTCAATGAGTGACACAATACCATGTTTGGTTTTTTTGAGGTTGTGTGAGACTTTGCCCTTCAGTATGCACAATGAATTATTCTTCCTTAATAGATTACTAGTGTCTGATTACAAGTAGGTAAAATTAGGTTGTAGCTCACTTGATTTTCCCATCAGTTGTTATGTTCAAATTATGTAATTTGAACCATGACAGGATAGAAAAAAAAAGAAATGTCATGTTTATAGTAATATAATTATATTAGGTCTGTTGTATGTAATGGAAGTCTATATTTCTGTTTTATGTTTTTGAACAGGTCTGCTGACGTGGTCATAATTTGTTGTAATGATCTGTGACACTGGGAACAGGTGTATAAGGTAGGGAACCCTGCAGTTTGTACTTATTTTCCTTTTTGTTGTGATAATATGGAGTATGGTAACATTTGTGTGGTGTATTATTTTTCTTGTTGTATGTTGTAGCAACTATTGTGTGTTTGATTGTATCGCTGTGAATATACCTGTGTGGGCCTGATAAATCAATATCTTCTGGAATGTAATATCTATGATGAAGTAAGATGAATCGGGTTAACAATCTTTACATAGGTGAGTTAAAATCTGTAAGGATTGTTAATAATAAAGAGTAAGAATTTGTTTGGTTCAGATTTTGATGTTAAAAACAAAATAGTTTTGAATTATATTATTAAACATGTGTTTAAATTGTATGCATCTTGTACTAGAAATTACTTTTACTCAAGACAATCATTTTTTGTTTATAGTAGAATTATGTTTTCACTGCAATGTGTTGGGCTCGTGAAAAGCGTAAGGCAATGTTTAGAAAAAAGGATGGACATTGATAGAGAATGTTTAGAGAGGGATTAGCACCATATATGATATGTGAATGTTAAAACAACAAACCTTAAGAAAATGAAGTATCATAATTTATGTGTAAGTTTTTATACTGTTTTATCAGAAGTTTATTTCTAGTTTATTTTTGTATAAAGACTTGAGAAAAAGTTATAAAAGAACATTACGTCTATGGATGTGTACTTTGAGATTTAAACCCAATGTCAGACCACGCCATCCCAGGAAACAACTTCTTGAAGTTACTTCCGCCTTCAGTAATTGAATCGAACATGACGCCTTGCACTTTTAATATTTGATGCGGAACTTCGAAGCAGTCGAAATTCCTTGTTTCCGTTGTCAGTTAACCAGAAAAAAACACACCTGTGATTTTTTTTATCATATTTATATTTAAAATAAATTATAATTTAATGTTTATATTGATTTTGATTTTATATTTTTTGAATAAAATATTTGAATTATTATTAAAAAAAAAGTTAGTTTACAAGATAATGTTATATCAACAAAGAAGGATGATTCTTCAATAAATGTTAATGTAGGTTTGATTTTGAGATGTTAAATAATGATTCTTTTAAATGAAATATTGTTTACTAATTTATATTTCGTTAAATAAGTAGTTGTTTTTATTTAATAAAGGATATAATAGTCTAATTAAAAATGAAATAAAAGGCATTGAAAAAAGACATTTCTTTTATATAATAATGAAGATTATGTATTTTTAATAAAAAGTGCATAATTATTTTTTATAGCACCTTAATACATACATTATTTCTAGCACCCGTACAATACATGTATTACTATATTACTTTTGCCATGTTACCAATTAGTTTATGAATCAATTTCTTACGTACCTATTTTCTATTACATCTTTCCTCTATTTTGTACCAATTTTGACATAAATCCATCTGTCTCTATTGTTCAATCCTCATCCCACACTAATCTTCATAAAAAATGGAAGTTGCTATTCTTTCTTCTTCTTTTTTCACTCTTTTTTTCCCTCAGCTAAATTCGGTAACTAGAGGAACACTATTCTTTTCATTGTGAAATTAAGTTTAAAAATTTTCAACCGTGAATTTTAAATCATTCTTTCTTCCTATCTTCATCATTCTCCACTTCATTCCCTTTTTCCCATTTCATCGTTCATTAGAAATACAAATTCACTCTCGACTAAATAACTTTGTAAAATGCTTTTCAGAGATATTACTCGCTCTCCTCTCTCCATTTTATGGTCACGTAGTTCCTTTCATCTAAATAGAATGTTAGACTCTTCTTGCTCTTGAATAAGTCTATAATAATTACAAGGAAGGTTTCATGAACTCAAATGCTTTTCACTGATATAACAAGTGTTGACAACCAGGAGGGTGGTATTAAGAAAGTAGACTCAAAATCGTAGTATTTGTCCTTAGAGATTTTGTTCATATGTTTATTCGAGGCATTCTTGGAATATAGAACTCATCAATCATGTATATCCATTGCATCAAGGTAATTCATTAGATCCGCCATCATTTCACATCAAAATGGTGGAACGGCCACGCGGTTCCTTGTTTTAAAATCAGGATTCACATCATGGCAAGACTTTTTGCATATAAAATAGATTAGTTTTCCTTTTCTTCCAATTTGTTCCTCACTATCACTTAGTTCTTCCAATTATTATCTCCTGTCTGATGTCAACCATTCTTATCATCATCCTCGGTAGGATTTTCACCTGTGATATGTTATCTTATTGTTTTTATATCTCTGTTGGGTGTTAATTTTGTTGATTAAGCTAGTAACCCATATTACAGTTGTTGCTTATGGGATGACAAGTATTTGGTTATATTACCTGAATGGCAATGAATTCTATGTTGGTTTGATCTTTCGATGGTTTAGTGATCAAGATTTGAGTTCTGACTGAATTGTGCTTACATATTGCAGGAGCCATTTTTCTGCTATTCTGTATTTTCATATGGCTAGGGCCCAAATTACCCCCAACAGACTCACGATTTATGACACTTGCTATGGATAAATTTTTGAATGATATGGAAAGGGAGAAGCCAATCAGGTTTACTGACCAACATCTAAGGATTGCAACTGATAACTACTCTTACTTGTTGGGGTCAGGAGGTTTTGGATCAGTCTATAAGGGAATTTTTAGTGATGGAACCATTGTAGCTGTGAAGGTTCTACATGGGCGTTCAGATAAAAGAAATGAGGAGCAGTTTATGGCTGAAGTGGGAACGATTGGAAAAATTCATCACTTCAATCTGGTTCGACTCTATGGATTTTGTTTCGAAAGAAACTTGATAGCTCTAGTTTATGAGTACATGGGGAATGGCTCTATTGACAACTATCTGTTTAATCAAAACAAGGCCATAGGATTTGAAAGGCTTCATGAGATTGCAGTTGGGGCATGATATGAATGTCATTTGTGTTAGGTAAACATTAAATGTATGTAGTTGAGAGGTAGTGATTATAGAGGTAGTAGTCGTATTGAATGTATGTAGTTGAGAGATAGTGGTTGTATTGAATATATGTAGTTGAAAGGTAGTAGTTGTATTAAATGCATGTAGTTGAGAGACTATATCCAAAGGCCTATAAATTGACCATGTACCACTTATCGCAAACACATCAAGTGATAATATACAGAGTGTTTTATTTAGATACTTGTTTGTCAACAATTTGTACAAGGGTTGACTTAGGATCATTAGGGTTAGAATCTTCTATAAAATAGTAGGAAATTAGTGAGGAAGTGGATTAGAAAGTGGTGAAAATTTTAAGGTTGGACAGAATTGAGTTTTCTGGGTTTTGGGGAAGAAAGAACAAGAGATGAATGTGAAAGGTCGAAGAAAAGAATAACTTTTTTCAAGGGAAGCAACTCACAAATGTGAAAATCCTTTAAGAACTCAGGATAATCACTCCAACTAAGATAAAAGAGCTAAATTTTTGTTGAAGAACTTCTTTTAATTTTCTTACTCTAGCTCTTGTTATAGGTACTGTAAGTCCTTCAAGTGGATCCTTGTCCTTGTTTATGGTCATGTCCCCATCTGGACAGCCAAAGGCATTGCTTATTTGCATGAAGAGTGCCAACAAAGAATAATACACCATGACATCAAACCGGCAAATATTCTTTTGGATGGAAACTTCAATCCTAAAGTTGCTGATTTTGGCTTAGCCAAGCATAGCAATAGAGAAAATACTCATCTAACCTTGACAAGGGTAGGGGGACTCCTGGTTATGCTGCACCTGAACTTTGGATGCCTAATTTTCCTGTTACTCACAAGTGTGATGTTTACAGCTTTGGAATGCTGTTATTTGAAATCATAGGCAGAAGGAGAAACCTTGATATTGAACTTGTTGAAAGCCAGGAGTGGTTTCCAATGTTTGTATGGAAAAAAATTTATGCTGGAGAATTGGAGGAGCTGATAATAGCATGTGGGATAGAGGAGAAATATGGAGAGATAACGGAGAGAATGGTTAATGTTGCTCTATCGTGTGTTCAGTATAGGCCAGATTCAAGGCCTATAATGAGTGATGTGGTGAAAATGTTGGAAGGTTCAGTGGAAATTCCAAAACCTTTGAACCCATTTCAGCAATTTATGGATGGGAATTTCACTGCTCATCTAATCCAAGTGCCACTGATCTACACTACAGATACTACCAGTTCTTCTGTTGTAGTAACTGACTCTAGCACTGTACATGCTACTCCTACTATGAGTAAATATGACATTGGATTAGCCTATAGTCAGTGCTGATGGTTGATCTATGCTACTTGATGGAACATTCCATATGTTAAATGATCTGTAAAATATTTTCCTTTTCTGCTACTTCCATTCTATTCTAACTTTCCATTTGTACTTATTTACTTATTTTACCAAAATGTTCTTTTCAATTTGCTCTAAACTTTTGAGTTAACTGCTCTGTATACAAGTGAAGCAAAGAAGTAAATATTAGCTCCAAAGATGAGAGATCAATTAGCAACTTTACCTCACCCAAATGGTTTGTAATTAGGCCAAGGTTTTGAGGACTCTACCACCGTTACAGTATCCGTATTTGTCTGAATTCTTTTTCTAATATCAAGAATTGGATTGACCTGATATATGGCCAACTCTTTATAGTATCTAAATTTATGAAAATGCTCTTTCAATACAAATTGTTTGCCTTTTCTCAATGCAAATGTGCCAAATTTCTTTGCCATCTCATACTTCATGTGCTCCGTAACTCTGGAACCGTTTCCCAATTACTTGGTTCTAATCATATCAATGTATAGAGTTGAAATTTCTATAGGTTTTAACCAAACCATCTCATTAAAAATCGTTTAACAGGAGGTATGAAAGGCAACTTCACCAAACTGATATCTAGGGAATTAGAACGCAATGGTTGAACCTGAACATTTAACATTTTAAAATACACAATGAAGCAGTTCTGTGTCCATGAGGACAAATATTTGTTTTCTCTCCAAGCATATCAAACTTGGTAAAAAAATTCTACGTGTTCTTTACACATCTGACAGTATTTACCATCCAATGGCTAATTGTAATTTATCATACATTACTATTAACATGTCGTTATTACGTGGGGTAGAATATTCCACAAACTTAAAATGAATATTACATATTATATATCATATAGAAGACGAGAAACTAGCATAGGAGAATGGTGTACAAGGAATATGGAACGTAGTTTTGTCAGAAACAGTTCTTCCTTGGTTTGAAAGTTAGGAAGTTGGTATGATATTTCATTCGATAAATGCATGGGATTTTGCATATAAATTTAGCCACTATGTTTCCTTCACACAATTCCTCAACATCATATAGTATTTTGAATTGATATCTCTAGTCTAATGTCAACAGACACTGATAATAACGCCGTAGTAATTGTGGCTCTAATCCTCTTTGGTAAGATTTTAACCGGTGGTGTTCTTTTTTGTTCAACCAATTCAATTCTGTTCACTGGTGGTTTTTGGAGGTTTAGTTACAAGATTTCTAATGAAACATTACTGCTTTGCAGCTCTGATTTTCATGAAGGTAGGTATTTGGATTTGTGCGGGGAAAGAAAGACTTGATGAGACTGATAATAAATCAGTAGTTCCAGATTCAAAATTTCCGACTCTCACTGTGGATCTTGACATTGATTTAGGCTGAAGTCAGGGCTGATGGTTTACCTATGCTACTTGATGGAGCATTACATATGTTAAATGATCAATAAAATACTGATATATTATCATTCATATGCTACTTGATGGAGCATTCCATATGTTAAATGATCTATAAAATAAAATACCGATTTATTATCATTCATATGCTACTTGATGCAGCATTCCATATGTTAAATGATCTTTTATGAGTTAACTGCTTTGTATATAGGTGAAGCAAAGAAGAAGTAAATATTGTTTAGATATCCCTCGACTAGATACACCATAATATAAGAAGTAAATTATTTACTAAATTCTACTTCTTTCCATCTCGTAGATTAATCACAATACATTTTCTCAAACTTTTAGGACTTTCTTCTAGTAATATAATGATTTATTTGATGGCTTCTTTTTTATTCTAGTATCATAACTTAACTGTATCGATCTAGTATCCATGTGAATGGACAATCAATTCAAAGACTCCATCATATATGATTCGTGGTTCATTAATTTGAGTTAATGCAAATTCTCAGTGAAGGAGGACATCTAATTAATTTGTCAAAAATAAACCAACATGATGAATTTTCAAAGATATGAGTGAAATAATTCATTCATTTGTCACTTTGAATGTGGAAGGAGAATAATGCACAACAGTTTGACACAGTAATCATGATGAAATAAAATAGAGAAATGGTATTGTCAATTATTTACACATACCAATTTGAGTTAATGTGTTCCACAAAGAATGAAATTTTATCGACAATATTTTAAGGACAAGCAATATACTGTCCTGATAACAGGTTTCAATAAAGGATGATGAGAAATAGGAAATGAGAAAAGAAGATCCATAGCTTTAAAATACCACCTGACACAAAAATGGTAAACTATTTCATTTAATAGAATCATATCAACCATTGATCTCTATACGTTTAACACAAGTTGTGCAAATTCAAGTAAACATCTGACAGTAGATATGCTCCTAGAAGAAGGATAAAGAGCATATGAAAACTTTTGTAGATAAGATAATGATATATAAAAGTTCTTCTTTTCTTTGTTGTTCTATCTCTATGTTTATGTTCTAACCATATAGTTTCTTGTCACTTAAATACAATGTCAAATTCTGTCTCTTCAACATTATGTGGTTTAGTATACTGACAACATTTTTTATCTTTATATGAAACCTATTTGATTGTACTAAAAACATCACTAGAATCCAAATCTAAGAGAACATTAAGTGATATAGTAACATCTACTTTGAAGGAAGCACTTAGTTCTTCACCATCAATATTCTTATCTTCATCGACCACAACTAGATGTTTTTAGTGAGTTTTCCTTTCCATCCTCCAACATCCTAAAACTTGGAATCAATATGTATATCTTGCTTGACATTTTGTAAAATAGTATAATTAAAAAAAATGCCGAATCCAAAAGTCAACGTTCAAAATATTTTCCATTTTACATGAAGATGGGAAATCAAATTTTCCTTCTCGTGAAGGAAGGTTTATCTGGATGGTCGCTGAGCAATTTGTCACTTATCTAGCCAGTTAATTCCAAAGTACTACGCTACGGTTTGTTATTGTTTTCTTCATTTCTTGATTGTTGAAATTTCTGTAGGATTTAACCAAACCATATCATGAAGAATCGTTTAACAGGAGGTATGAAAGCCAACTTCAAACTGCTATCTAGGGAATTAGAATACAATGGTTGAACCTAGATATTTGCCACAAGTATACCAACCCCAAAATTTTAAACACAGAATGAAGAAATTCTTCTGTGTCCATCAGGACAAATATTTGTTTTCTCTTCAAGCATATCACACTTTATAAAAAAATTCTACGTGTTCTTCAAGAAAATTAACGAAAATTATCACTTGCTTTATTAGTCGCTTTCATCTCTCTAGCTGTTAATATGTCGTTATCACGTGGGTTAGAATATTCCACAAACTTAAAATGAATATTACACATTATATATCATATACAAGAAGAGAAGCTAGCGTAGGAGAATGATGTACTAGGAAATTGGAATTATGGAATGTAGTATTTGTCTTAAGAGAGTACGCGTTCTTCCTTGGTTTGAAATTTAGGATGTTGATATGATTATTTTATTCGATAAATGCATGGAATTTTAAATATAAACTTAGCCACTATGTTTCCTTCACACAATTCCTCAACATCACTGTAGTATTTTGATTTGTTATCTCTTGTCTAATGTCAACAAGCACTGATAATAACGCCGCAGTAATCGGGGCTGTAATAGTCTTTGGTAAGATTTTAACCTGTGGCCTTGTTATTTCAACCAATTCAATTCTGTTCAGTGGTGGTTTTTGGAGTTTATTTAGTCACAATATTTCTGATTGAACTTTAATATTTTGCAGCGGTGATTTTCGTCAAGATAGGTATTTTGATTTGTATGTGCCGAGCAAGAAATAATACTAACGGTAGATCAGTAGTTCCAGATTCAAAATTTCTGACTCTCACTATGGATAAATTTCTGAATGACATGGAAAGGGAGAAGCCAATTAGATTCACCAATCAACAACTAAGGATTGCAACTGATAACTACTCCAACTTGTTGGGGTCTGGAGGTTTTGGAACAGTTTATAAGGGAATTTTTAGTAATGGGACCATGGTTGCTGTGAAGGTTCTGCGAGGGACTTCAGACAAGAAAATCGAGGAGCAGTTTATGGCAGAAGTGGGTACCATTGGCAGAATTCATCATTTCAATCTTGTTAGACTCTATGGATTTTGCTTTGAAAAGAACCTGATAGCAATGGTGTACGAGTACATGGGAAATGGCTCTCTTGACAGGTATTTGTTCCATGAAAAGAAGACCTTAGGATATGAAAAGCTTCATGAGATTGCAGTGGGAACAGCTAGAGGCATTGCCTATTTGCATGAAGAGTGCCAACACAGAATAATCCACTATGACATAAAACCAGGAAATATTCTCTTGGACAGGAATTTCAATCCTAAAGTGGCTGATTTCGGTTTAGCCAAGCTTTGCAACAGGGACAATACTCATATAACTATGACTGGTGGTAGGGGAACTCCAGGTTATGCTGCACCCGAGCTTTGGCTTCCATTTCCTATAACTCATAAGTGTGATGTTTATAGTTTTGGCATGCTGCTATTTGAAATCATAGGCAGAAGAAGAAACCTTGATACTAAAGTTGCTGAAAGCAAAGATTGGTTTCCAATGTGGGTTTGGAAAAGATTTGAAACAGGAGAACTGTGGGAGTTAATGATAGTTTGTGAGATAGAGGAGAAAACTAAGGAGATTGCAGAAAGAATGGTTAAGATAGCTCTGTGGTGTGTTCAGTATAGGCCAGAATTAAGGCCGATGATGAGTGCTGTGGTGAAAATGTTGGAAGGTTCAGTGGAAATTCCTGAACCCGACAACCCGTTTCCGCATTTCATGGGTGGGACTACCATTGCTCATCCAGTCGCAGAGTCACAGACCTATAATACAACAAGTATTTCATCGGGTTCTTCTGTCATGGTATCAAACTCCAGCATTGTATGTGCTACTCCTGTTATGAGGAAGTACGAGATTGAATTAGCCTCTAGCATTGTATGATGGAGATACCAGCTACTTGATGAAAAAAGTTGTGAAATATTTTCCTTTGTGCTAATTAGATTCAAATGTATCCATTTTTGTACGTGTCCTTCTTTTGGGTGAAATTGCTCTTTTCGTTTTGCCTCTAAACTATTTGGAATTGAAAAGTTTATATATTGAGGGAAGCAATAAGAAGTAACTAAAATACATGAATCTGCAACATGATATATAGAGGTCAGGTAAATGGTAAAGAATGATAGTTATACTAGACGGGTAAAAGGGTACTTATACATTAAATTTCGTAATCGATTCTGCACTTTTTTTTTTTTAATTTCTAATCTTATTATAGTATATGGTTAAATTTGTTGTTTCGTCCTATAAGCAATCGTGTTCATATTTTGTGAACTATATGTCTGAATTTTGAAGATTATTTCCAAATACAATCTTAACATCGATTAGGATTATAGGATCTGCAACAAGCCCGATGCAGACGTACGGTTTTGAGCTTTAAGATGTTTCATGAAGTTGGACTGCAGCATATGTATGGTTGCCATATGCTTTGCTTAGATTTATGGTTTGTGTCATGCCAATATTAAAAAAATTTTAGACAATTCGTACAAAGTTTCAGTACTACTAGAACATAGAATTTTTTCTATTTTTTCTGCGACTTTTTGGTAAGACTCTTTACAAAATCCAGAAAAAAAAAAACTCATCTCATACGAATTTTAATAACAATTATAAAAAGAATTCACACAAGATATGAAAAATTTCAGTCATGCAGGACTTGTTACGATAGCTGTTGTCTTGCCTCTAAACATGTTTTGAAGACAAGAAAATTAAGATCATTAAGTTTCCCATTGACTCTTGTTTTATAATAAGCAAGAAATGGTAAAGAGAAGAAAGTGGGTTGCTAGGAAGCATAGATGAAGTAAAACTTTCCAACAGAATGGTATAAAATAAAAAACAACGAAGAAGAGAAAATTATTCTTATTAGTCGTTATCATCTCTTTGGTTTCTCCATCATGGAGTTCCTTGTCAATCACTCAATTGAACAGATAAAAAAGTGTGGTTTACTCTAGACATGGCATTAGTATATGCATGTATGCACAAAAAGAAATTATGAACTTCCTTTGCCGTTAACTTTTCATATTTAACTAACAAATAGCTTAGGAGGATGGTGCTAGGAAATTTGAAATGTTAAACTTAGTATTTGTCGTTATTTAGTTCAAGTATTTGTTTTTGGCCGTCTTGTAAGATTGTTAGCCAGCTTATTCAATCAAGAATATCCATGGTCATATAAGACTGGGGGACCCTGCAATACAGAGTGATAACAATCCTTTCATATTTGAAACTTGAAACTTCCAATGATGTAGATATCATTTATTTTCATATTTGATTTTGCATAGAAATCCTCATCACATCCATTATATCCACAACTAAGTTTTGAATTATTCCTAACGAATTGTTGTCAAGCATGAGTGCTGGGGTTGTCACAGGCATCGTTGGTAGGATTTAGGCCCGATATATTGTTTTTTCTTCTTGTTGCATGATGGTTTTAATGACTTTCATGAGTTTCTGACTGTATATTAACGTGTTGGTGTTGCAGTTTTGCTTGTCTGGTTCACAACTCTGTGCCTTTTTTGTTTCTGTAAAGCATTCAACAGAAAGACTGATAGCATGTCAGATATGAATTTTCTTGCCATGGACAATTTTTTGAGTAAAATGGAAAGAGAAAAGCCAATCAGGTTTACTGCTGAGCTGCTCAGGATTGCAACAGATAATTATTCTACATCATTGGGGTCAGGAGGTTTTGGAGAAGTTTATGAAGGAAATTTGAGAGATGGAACAACTGTGGCTGTGAAGGTTCTACGTGCAAATTCTGATAAAAGAATTGAGGAACAGTTTATGGCAGAAGTGAGTACAATTGGAAAAATCCATCATTTCAATCTAGTTAAGTTGCATGGATTTTGCTTTGAAAAAGGCCTGAGAGCACTGGTTTATGAATACATGGGGAATGGATCTCTTGACAAGTATCTGTTTAATAAAAACAAGAACCTTGGATATGAAAAGTTGCATGAGATTGCTGTTGGGACAGCCAGAGGCATTGCGTACTTGCATGAAGATTGTCAGCAAAGGATAATCCACTATGACATCAAACCAGGAAATATTCTCTTGGACAGAAACTTCAATCCTAAAGTTGCTGATTTTGGATTGGCCAAACTCTGCAACAGGGACAATACTCATATAACTATGACAGGAGGTAGGGGCACTCCAGGTTATGCTGCACCTGAGCTTTGGATGCCATTTCCTGTGACTCACAAGTGTGATGTTTACAGCTTTGGAATGCTGCTATTTGATATCATAGGCAGGAGAAGAAACCTTGAAATTAACCTTTCAGAGAGCCAAGAGTGGTTTCCAGTATGGGCTTGGAAAAGATTTGATGCTGGAGAATTTGAAGAATTAATAACTGTTTGTAAGATTGAGGAGAGGTACAAGAAAATGGCTGAAAGAATGGTGAAGGTAGCTTTGTTTTGTGTTCAATATAGGCCAGAATCAAGACCAATTATGAGTGATGTGGTGAAAATGTTGGAAGGTTCAGTGGAAATTGCTAAACCATTGAACCCTTTTCAGTACATGATAGATGGAACCTTCCCAGGTCATTCTGTCCATACATCCATGACTGATGTTAATACAAGCGTCAATTCCAGCTCTTCTGTTATGGTGACCCAACCTGGCATTGTATATGATATTCCTCTCATGAGAAATGATATTGAATTGGTCTCTAGCATAGGAGTATAAAGGAGAAAACATTGTAGTTCATGAAAGGTTTCTATGGCTTAAATTATGGTGTAAAATTTTTTATTTCTTTGTAATTTGACTCTATTCAGTATGTTATGTGATAGAACAAGAGAACACACCGAGAATAGATGCAGTTTGGCCCAAACAAAGGGTTAGTGCAGAAACAGTAATGTCTTTTAAACTTTTAAAATTTGGATACTAAAATCACAAAAAGAAAAATAATAATTACAGGACCAAAATTACACAAATCAGAACTAAAGCATATATAAAAATTGTGTTTTAGTTTTTGTTAAATTTTTTCGTATTTTTATAGTCTTTAGTGTTTTTTTCTTATCATTGTTTATAGTTAATTTAATGTTAATAAAAATATTAATTAAGTTAATTAAAGTAATAAAATATATTTAAATAAAAAATTATATCAATTTTAAATATGAAATTCAATTAAGTAATGTATTTATTATTTTTATAAATAAAATAATTACATATAATTTACTTTTAGAATTTCTTTTATATATTATCTACAGTATAATTTGTATACCATTCGAATTGAATTATCATTATTTTTTACTAACAAAATGTTATTTAAATAAGATAATGACAACAATTTTTTTTACATTGTATATATAATAATTATATTTTCTTTTCATTGTATGCGTAAAGAATGATTATTAGCAAAATTTATTTAATATATAACACCGTAAATTAGTTTTGCATAATATATATATATATATATATATATATATATATATATATATATATATATATATATATATATATATATAAAATGACAGAAAAAGGAAGAGTAATTTACTTTTGTATTACATATAATTTTTACAAATTATAATAAGTAATTTTAAAAAATACTTAATAAATTTATTAGTTTTGCTGTTGTTTTTTATGATCAAAGAATCAAGATTAAAACTTTAGAATGCTTTATCTGAAATCATACGAAGGAGAAGAAACTTTGACATTAAACTTCCCCAAAACCAGGAGTGGTTTCCAGTATGGGTTTGGACAAGTTTTGATTGATGCTGGAGTATTGGAAGAATTAATAAATGCTTGTAAGATTGAGGAGAGGTATAAGGAAATGGCTGAAAGAATGGTGAAGGTAGCTTTGTTTTTTGTTCAGTATAATCATGATCAGAGGAAGGGAAACTCCTGGCTATGCTTCACCTGAACTTTGCATGCCATTTCCAGTAACTCACAAATGCAGTGTTTACTGTTTTGCAATACTTCTATTTGAAATCATAGGTAGGAGATGAGATCTTGACATCAACCTGTATAAGCAAATAATGGATGGGACTTTTGCTGGTCATCCAGTCCAACCATCACAGACTTGTGAGGGTAATCAAATCCAGCAATGTATGTGTAAGGAACTAAGAGATGCAATGAAAAGATATTTAATTAAACAGGTAGAAGTTGTACCATAAGGGACAAGTTACAACATGAACCCATGACCATAACTCATATATACATATTGCACTGCTGCAAAGGATTGCAAAGACCAAGTAAGGAGCTCTGTGACAAAGGACAAAGGTGGTGGAGAGTATGGAAAAAAGATGAAACAAATGATGATAGAGTGCAAAGTGTAACCATTAGTGTAGAAACTCCACTAGTCCCATATGAAGTGATACTGTCATAATCACTCCCTCTGTTCTCCATAATGGGAAAGCTTCATATTGAAAAGGCTCTTAGGTCCTGTATATGACAGCAAGCAGTTTATAGCCAGATGTGAACCAGCTGCATAAATGCCTTGCAATCAGTCAGAATCAGTAACATATTCCTGCATGCCCTTCATCAACCTCTGCTTCACCTTCATATGATGGATTCTTTTTAAGCTGAATTACTCAATTTGTAATTTGAATCTGTTCTATTTTGATAAATATAAATGTATAGTCAAAAAATGTCTTCAAATAAATCTACTTACAGAATTTGAAATGGATATGTGACTACGTGAGAGATGATTACAAGACATTTTACGTTGTGCATGGTACTGATTTCGCATATTGTTCGATAGATTCTATTTTTGTCATTGAAGGACAATCTGAAAAACTAAGGGAGAGGTTGGTAGGAGACAAAATTGCTAGTATAGAACAAGGAGAAATGAGAAATGAGAAGGAGAGATGCACTTTAACATCAACGAGTCCAGAAAGTTACTCCTATAATTACCATATTCGTATTTTCACTCCTGCCAAAACATACAAAGCTCTCACTCACTGCACTTCTCTGGTTTCATGACAGACAGAATTCTTGGTGCAGAATAGTTGCCAAGGTGTATACCAAATATTTGGAGATTTCAGTTTAAGCAACAGCATTGGGTTGCAGGATGTGCATTCTGATTGTAAGTAAATTCAACAAAGCTTAACAACGACTCTTTGTTAATGCACAATACAATTTCTATTTTACAACAATCTCTATACTGTTACGATACAATTAGGTTCGTTCTTCGATCTCAAATGTTTTGCGCTTGATTTTGGAGCCAGATTCAGGGTATGATGTCTCCCTTGACAAGGTAGTATCTGAATCTGCAGTACTACTACCTTGTCGAGTCAAGTTTGGCTTAACGGACACCAGGTTTTGGAAGGGAAATGGAGGTGGAGAAATTTCAATTTCACCCTCTAACATCTTCACCACTGTACTCATGAGAGGTCTATCATCTGGTTTATACTGAACACACCACAGAGCCACCTTTGACATTCTCTCACCTTTCTCCCTGTCTTTCTCTTCCATTCCATAAAGTGAAAGCATTACGGATAACTCATTATTCTCAAACATATCCCATGTATATTGTGGAAGCCATTGTTGTGATTCTCCGTAGTTATCATCAAAATGCCTTCTCCTCCCAACCATTTCAAAGAGGAGAATACCAAAACTGTAAACATCGCACTTGTGAGTCACTGGAAAAGGCTTCCACATTTCTGGTGCAGCATATCCCCTTGTTCCTCTAAAGTGTGTGTTGACTGCAACATCATTATCTCTGTTGCAAAGCTTTGCCAGGCCAAAATCTGCTACCTTTGGCTCCAAGTTCATGTCAAGAAGAACATTCTCCGGTTTAATATCATAATGAATGATTCTTTTTTGACACTCTTCATGTAAATAAGCGATACCTTTTGCTGTTCCAATTGCAATCTCAAGAAGCTTCCCGAACTCAATGTCATGGTTCTGGCTGCCAAACAAGTGCTTGTCCAGAGACCCATTTTCCACAAACTCATAAACAAGAGCTCGCTTGTCACGGTGGAAGCAGAATCCATAAAGCCTGACTAGATTGACATGGTAAGTTCTTCCAAGGGTGCCAACTTCTGCTTTTAATTGTTCTTCCATTCCCATGTCCAAACTGTTGATAACTTTCACAGCCACAATGTCTCCATTGGACAATTCTCCTTTGTAGACAACCCCAAAAGCACCTGAACCCAATATGGTTGAGTAGTCCCATGTAATTATATCTAGCTCCTCAGGAGAGAATCTGATAGGTTTCTCCTTGTTAATGTTGCTGAGGAATCTTTCCATTGTTGCAAACTCAGTTTTAGAACCTTGAACCTTGGAAGCTGGTTCTATTACTACTTCAACTTCTCTACTCGAAGGAAATGACTTTGATGCTTTATGATCCTTCTCTGTAGTCGGAAGCTGGGCATATGCAGGAATTGCTTCTCCCGCCTTCTTTAAGCATTGAATAATGGCATATACTACTGCTATAGTAGCTATCAGCCCCACCACTCCAGAAGCTGAAATTGAAACAGAACATAACTTACTTCAAAGTTTAAGAGTAAATATAAATATAACACTTATAAAATACATACAAATATACAAGTTTCAACCTTTTATTTCACCATCAGATTATCATGTCACATTTTTTCTTTTAAGGGGTACCCAAAGAAATCAATAAATGTAACAGCTACGGTATATATGTATATATATCCCAAGTATGCATGAATCAAAAAGGTTTAGCTATCTGCTTACCAATGGACGCTATTACTGTCCATTCCATAAAATGGTCAAACTGGTTCTGTGCCTGAGTCTGAAAATCGTCAGATGGAGAAGGAAACTGAAAACTCATGTTTGTTCTCTAAGCTTGTGCAGGAAAGGCTGGAGTGAAAATCTAACGATGGAATTTGGATTACAAAAGACTCAATAACATTAAAATTGGATATAAAGGTATTCAAGGATATAACATTCATGTGGGAAAGAAAGAAGAAACAGCGTCTCTCTGACTTTCATGTAACCAAGACTTATTTAACACCACAATATATTTCGTGTACGACACTTTTATATAGCATGTAGTTGACCGTTATATGCCAGAAAACGCGTTTTTTATTTAATTCCGGGGAAATTTCACAAGCAAAGCGAGGCAACATTTTACTGGATAGAAGCTAAGTAAATTATTAAAAAAAATAAATCAATTTTGATAGAAATTATTGGCACTGATTTTTATGTGTTTCTCTTCTTCAAAACTTTTTATAATTTTTTAAATATTTAATTTATAATGATAAATATTTTAAAGTATATAAATTATATTTAATTAAAATTAAATAAATAACTATTGTTAATGTGGGAAATCTTTAAACAAGTAATACTTTGGAAATTAGTTTTTTTTTCCTATATTCAAGAAACAAAATAGGAACTACGCAACATTGGTTTTTACTGTTAAAATTACAAGTAACATTTTTAAGAAAAAACTCAACAAATTCATTATCATACACCCACATACATTATTACAAGGAAATTATTAAGTAAAAATTAATTTAAAGATAAAAAATATTCCATTATTTATATGGTTTTGATTTAAAATTTATTTATTTTGTAAAACAGTGTAATAATTACATTGGGAAATGTAATCTCTGCTAAATATTAATCAAGATTCAAATTCAATTCAGAAAATACATGATTCAGAACAGTAAACATTGAACTGAATCTTAAAGTACAAATTTTACTATGATTCTGTTAACCTTAATTACTTTGTGGCATTACCAACAACTTGTAATGATTGATCTTTTGTGTCACTGAATAAACTTTAGGTAGAGGCTGATTCAATCTCCAACTTTGTCTCAATAGGGGAAGAAGCTTCATGGCTTGATTCTGTTATCATCTCTGAAGAACCTGGAAAGGTACTTGTATAAGTGTTGGTATGTGATGCTGGTAGAAAAGTCTCATGAAAAAGATGCGGAAAAGGGTTTAGAGGTTTTGGAATTTCAACTGAACCTTCTAACATTTTCACCACAACACTCATTATAGGTCTTGATTCTTGCTTGTACTGAACACATGACAGAGCTACCTTTATCATTCTTTCTGCAGTCTCTTTATTTTGATCCTCCATTCCACATGCTACTATTAATTCTTCTGTTTCTTCAGCCTCAAACTTTTTCCAAACCCACATTGGAAACCACTCCTGACTTTCAGCAAGGTCAATGTCAAAGTTTCTTCTCCTTCCAAGGATTTCAAATAACAGCATCCCAAAGCTGTACACATCACACTTGTGAGTTACTGGAAAATTTGGCAACCAAAGCTCAGGTGCAGCATAACCAGGAGTCCCTCTACCCTTAGTCAGAGTAGTATGAGTATTGTCCCTGTTGCAGAGTTTGGCTAATCCAAAATCAGCAACTTTAGCATTGAAGTTTCTGTCCAAGAGAATATTTCCTGGTTTGATGTCATAGTGGATAATTCTTTGTTGACACTCTTCATGCAAGTAAGCAATGCCTTTGGCTGTCCCAACAGCAATCTCATAAAGCTTTTCAAAACCTATGGCTTTGTTACGATCAAACAAGAATTTGTCAAGAGAACCATTTCCCATGAACTCATAAACCAGTGCTGTGAAGTTTCTTTCGAAACAAAATCCGTAGAGCCGAACCAGGTTGAAATGATGAATTTTTCCAATTGTTCCCACTTCAGCCATAAACTGCTCCTCAATTCTCTCGTGAGAAAGCGCATGTAGTATCTTCACAGCTACAATGGTTCCATCACTGAATATTCCCTTACAAACTTTTCCAAAACCTCCTGACCCCAACAAGTATGAATAGTTATCAGTCGCAATTTTTAGATGCTGTTCAGTAAACCTCATTGGCTTCTCCTTTTCCATCTCGCTCAGAAATTTATCCATAGTGAGTGTCATAAATTGTGGGTCTTGACCACAATTCCATTTGGGTTGTAACCATATAATAACACACAATATCACAAAACTGACACCTGCAATACATTAGCATTATTAAGTAAATCAGAACTCAAATCTTATCACTAAACCATCCAACAACCAAATCAGAACAGAAGACGAATTCAAACCAAAAAAATTTCGTTGGTTAAAATCACACCTGCGATGATGATTATAAGTATAGCAATTTCTGACATTAGGCAAGAGATAAGAACGAATGTGTATGTTATTTACGAAGTGAAAGGTGGATCAAAAGAGAAACTTAGTGGAATCCTGCAATTCCCAGTTTGTTTGCTTTGTGAAGCTAAGTAATTTTTAATATATATTAGTCATGTCATGCACCATATATAGATCAAACGAAACACGTTTTTAGTGAATTTCGAAGAAGTTTCAGAGAGAAAATTAACATCAAATGCATTCTCATGAAGACTTTGTGAAGTCTTCTGTTCTGTCAAGTCAACTCGGTGTAAGAAGTCGTCACTTGTCACTACTATTTGGACAAATCATGACCCTTATAATAAGAGAGGCTACTTGGCATTAATGACTATCAACTGTCCAACATTTTTGTAATATAGTCTGATAACGTATCTAAGCAACAAATTTTACTTAAATATCATGCAGCCATTTTTAATGGAAAAAAAAAATGAAGAAAATGTCCATTTTCATTAATAACGCATACCAAAAATCAACCAAACCCAAATTTGTACCCACAGTTTTAAGTATATTATTAAATATTTCCAGAACATGAGCATTTAGAACAATTATGTAGAGGCAGAGGTAGCTGGCCATAAACCAATACTTCAAACCAAAATTGTGTTTATCTAATTACCTCATTGAGCAAATACACCCATGTTAGATTTTGTTAACTAAAATTAATAATAAAATTAATAATCAATTTTAGATGTTTGGATAGTTTTAGAATGGTTTGAATTGAGGAGATTTATTATGAGACTTTTTGATTTCTAGGAAATAAATGTTTGACGCAACAGAGAGTTTGTAGGAGTGTTTAAGTATAGATATGTAATCTTGTTTTTAGTACGACAAATAATCAATAAAAGTAAAGTTTATAAGTTTTGTATGAAATTCTTTGTTATCAAATTGGTATGAGAGGTCTCAGGGAGAGTTTTGTTCTTCAAGATAGTTTTGGTTTTTTTATTGTTTATGAGAAGAACTAGGGTTCTTTAGAAGCAGGAGAATAGAGGGTTTCTCAGTAAAAACTAAAATTTTAGTGTTAAAAACTAAAATTTTAGTGTTAAGTGTTTAAAAAGTAAGATGACTAATCTAACAAACGCTTGTTGTAGTTATGTCCTGATTGATAAATGATGTCAGCTATGATAAATGGAGTATCCAGATTAAAGCTTTCCTCAAATCCCAAGGTGTTTGGAAGATGGTGAAAAAAGGTTTTGAAGAACTTGAGACCACGAAAGGATTGACGGTCAAGGAACTCAGGGAGTTATAAAGACGAAATGTGAGAAAGACAGTGCAACTCTGTTTTTGCTGTTTTGAGTTGTAGAAATTTCGACTTTGAGAAGATTAAAGGACCACATCGGTATTTGATGCATGGGATGTATTAAAGGAGCATGAGAAAGATGATCAAGTCACTCAGATTTGGCATCAGAAACTAGGAAGTGAGATGGAGAACATGAAGATGAAAGAGTCAGAAAAAGTTTTGGAATATGTCTTGCGTGTTGAAAATATGGCAAAACAGCTTAATTAGAATGGAGAGGTATGGGACAGTTGATGGCCTAATCGGGTCAATTCAAGATGTGCTTTATATTCCAGATTTAAAGAGTAATCTTTTAAGTATGAGACAATTGATGAAGAGAAGATACTCAATTTTCATAAAAAGTCAAAGAGAAGATCAAAGCTGTTAGAGATGAGAATGGTCAAGTTAGAGAATATTATGGTCGACCTATTGATGTGAAACATATGTTTAAGAAAGATGAGAGATATGACCGAGTTGTTGATGTAAAATAGCTATCCAAGAAGGATGAGAAGTGGTCGAACAATTACCAAGTTGTGAGGTACTTAGACAGTGGTATGAAGATGTGGATGATCGAAATAAAGGATGGAAGGAATTCAAAGTGTTCGTGAATAAGAAGAGATATAATCAATTAGTTTGAAGCTCGAGATATTTTGAAGGACAAGAAGTTTTGAAGTCGATAACTAGTGATCGAAACCAAGCTGGTCTTGAAGTGTTGAAGTTGAAGGCTAGTCGGCTGATCTTGAAGTGTTAAAGTTAAAGGTTAGTTGGAAGCCGAGAGGTTGGGATGAGGTTAATCTTAAATTTTTTTCTTTAATACAAAGAATTAATTTTATGAGAGAATTTGTTAAGTAAAATTACTAATAAAATTAATAATCGATTTAGAACATTTAAATAGTTTTATAATGATTTGAAATTATTGTTATCGGGACCATTATTATAGAATATTTAAAGAGCGAGTGAAGTTATTGAAGAATATTATTACGAAACTCTTTTATTTCATAGAGTTCGTGGAAATATTTAAATACAAAAATATAATCTTATTTTTAGTACGATAAATAATCAATAAAATTGGAAAAAAAAATAGTAGAATTATGCAAGTCCCAATTTGTTTGCCTTCTGAAGCTTAGTAATTTTTAATATATATTAGTCATGTGATGCACCATATATCCTACGAAAAATTCTCATATAAATCATACAAAACACGTTTTTATTGTTTCCCACGTAAATTTTGTCAACAGTGACACCTATTATTTTTTAATTACTTAAATAGTATATTGTATGTTTTTTTTTTTTTTTATGTTGAGTATCCTGGAAGATGAAACCTGAATGTGGAGGTATATTTTTTTTCCTTCAAACTAGTTAAAATTCGGTTGTCTCCTAATCCTGAATTAGTTTTTTTTTTTTTTAAAAGAAAAACTAACTAATATATATATATATATATATATATATATATATATATATATATATAATATTATAACGTTTTATTTAAAATTTATAGAATTAAATTATAATTTTAGAAAGATTTATATATTTCTTAAATTAATAATATATTTAGGTTTATTATTGAAAATAGTAAAATAATACTTTTAAAATATATTATTAAATATTATTTTTTTATATTTTATTTGTATGGTTAATTTTTTTTAATTCTTTGATTTATTTGATATTGTATTATTTTTTTAAAATGAATAATAAATTAGGAGGATAATAAAAATTTTAAACATTATATATATATATATATATATATATATATATATATATATATGATGAAATAATATTTTGATGTAAAATTATATCTTTGAAATGTATTTTTGGTGTGTTTTGTAATATTTTGAAAGATATATATATATATATATATATATATATATATATATATTAAAATATAATTTATTTTTAAGTTGATAATTTTTATTTTAATTTATATAATATATATATATATATATATATATAAAATTAATTTGAAGTTCATATGTAATTTTAATTTTTGTAATATATATATATATATATATATATATATATATATAATTTATGTAATACATATAATTTATTCAATATTAAAAATAGTTATATTTTTATTAATTTTATAATTATAAATTTTTTCAAGGTTATAATTTTAAATATTTTTTTAACTTTATATTTATAATTTATATAATATATTTAATTTATAAATAATTTTTTTTAATTTTAATTTGATATATTTTTTTATTTATAATTATTTAATATATATTTGAAAAATTAATTGATTATTTAAAAACTAATTAAATATTTAAAAACTAATCAATTATAATTAATTATTAAAAAAAACGGTTCTCATCGAGTATTGAAAAACTAATCGATTAATTTTTGAAATAATCGATTAATTTTTCAAATAATAATAAAAAAAATATATATATATCTATAATATTATAATATTTTATTTAAAATTTATAGTTATAAATTATAGGTTTTAAAAAATTTATATATCTATTAGATTAATAATATATTTATATTTATTGTTAAAAGTATTAAAATAATATTTTTAAAATATATTATTAAATATTATATTTATATTTTATTTGTATGATTAATTTTTTTTAATTCTTTGATTTATTTGATATCGTAATATATTTTTTTTAAATTAATAATAAAATAGGAGAATAATAAAAATATTAAAAATTATATGAATATAACATGAAATAATATTTTGATGTAAAATTATACTTTTGAAATATATTTTTTTTGTGTGTTTTGTAATATTTTGGAATATATATATATATATATATATATATATATATATATATATATATATATTAGAAATAAAATTAAGTTATATTTTGGAAGATATATATTATAATTCTAAATATAATTTTTTTAAGTTGATAATTTTTATTTTAATTTATGATATATATATATATATAATTAATTAATTTAAAATTTATATGTAATTTTAATTTATGTAATATATATATATATATTATATATAATTATAATTTATATAATATATATAATTTATTTAACATTAAAAATAGTTATATTTCTATTAATTTTAAAATTATAATTTATTTTAAAGTTATAATTTTAAATATAATTTTTTTAATTTTATAATTATAATTTATATAATATATATAATGTTTAAATATTTATTTATTTAATTTTGATTTGATATATATTTTGATTTGTAATTATTTAATGTATATTTAAAAATTTAATAGATTATAATGAATTATAATCTACTATTTGAAAAAGTAATCGATTAATTAAAAAATTAATCCAATAATTGAAAACTTAATCGACTAATTTTTGAAATAATTGATTAATTTTTAAAATATACATTAAGTAAAATAAAATATATAATATTATTTTATTTATAATTTATAATTTTAAAAAGATTTATATATTTATTAAATTAATAATAGATTTAAATTTATTGTTGAAAATAGTAAAATAATATTTTTAAAATATAACTATTTTTAATTTTAAATCAATTATATATTATATAAATTATAACTATATATATATATATTAAATAAATTAAAATTACATATATAAACTTCAAAAATATAAGTTATTTTTATTCCTAATATATATATATATATATATATATATATATATATATATATATATATATTATAAAATATTACAAAACACAAAAAAAATACATTTCAAAAATATAATTTTATATCAAAATATTATTTCATCTTATATACAGATAATTTTTATGATTTTTATTATCCTCCTAATTTATTATTAATTTTGAAAAAAATATTACAATATCAAATAAATAAAAAAATTAAAAAAAATTAATCATACAAATAAAATATAAATATAATATTTAATAATATATTTTAAAAATATTATTTTACTACTTTCAACAATAAATCTAAATATATTATTAATCTAATAAAGATATAAATCCTTTTAAAATTATAATTTAAAACTTTAAATTTTAAATAAATAATTATAATATTATATATATATATATATTGTTTTACTTTTTAAAAAACCAATCAATTAATAATCGATTAACCGGTTACTTTTTTTAATAATTGATTAGTTTTTAAATAATCAATCAGTTTTTCAAATATACATTAAATAATTACAAATAAAAATATATATCAAATTAAATATACAGTTAAAAAAATTATATTTATAATTATAACCTAAAAAAATTTATAATTATAAGATTAATAAAAGTATAATTATTTTTAATGTTAAATAAATTATATATATTATATAAATTATATATATATATATATATATATTACATAAATTAAAGTTACATATAAAATTATATGAATTTCAAATTAATTATATATATATATATATATATATTTTACATAAATTAAAATAATAATTATTAATTTAAAAATAAATTATATATATATATATATATATTTATATATTCCAAAGTATAACTTATTTTCATTTTAAAAATATAATTTTACATTGTATACATATAATTTTTAAGATTTTTATTATCCTTCTAATATATTATTCATTTCTAAAAAAAATATTACAATATCAAATAAATTAAATAATTAAAAAAAATAACCATACAAATAAAATATAAATATAATATTTAATAATATATTTTAAAAGTATTATTTTATTGTTTTCTACAATAAATCTAAATATATTCTTAATTTAAAAAATATATAAATTTTTTAAAATTACAATTTAAAATTATAAATTTTAAATAAAACATTATAATATTATATATATATATATATATATTTTTTTATTTATTTATGTTATATATTTAAAAAATTAATCGATTATTCTAAAAAAATCGATTAGTTTTTCAGTTACTCGATTACAATCCGTTTTTATCGATTACATTTTTAAATAATAGATTATAATCGATTAGATTTTAAATTTTTAAATAATAGATTATAATCGATTAGATTTTGAAATAATCGATTATTATTTATTAGTTTTCCAAATATACATTAGATAAGTACAAATAAAATATATAACAAATTAAATTTTTAAAAATAATTATTTATAAATTATATATATTATATAAAGTATAATTATAATTTTAAAATAATTATTTATAAATTATATATATTATATAAATTATAATTATAAATTTTAAAAAATTATATTGAGAATTATAGCCTTAAAAAATTTATAATTATAAAATTAATAAAAATATAATTATTTTTAATTTTAAATCAATTATATTTTATATAAATTATATATATATATATATATATATATATATATATATATATATATCTTCTAAAATATTACAAAACACAAAAAAAAAACATTTCAAAAATATAATTTTATATCAAAATATTATTTCATCTTATATACATATAATTTTTAAGAATTTTACTATTCTCCTAATTTATTATTTATTTCTAAAAAAATATTATAATATCAAATAAATAAAAAAATTGAACAAAATTTAATCATACAAATAATATATAAATATAATATTTAATAATATATTTTACAAATATTATTTTACTATTTTCAATAATAAATCTAAATATATTATTAATCTAATAAATATATACATCCTTTGGAAATTTTAATTTAAAACTTTAAATTTTAAATAAAATATTATAATTTTATATATGTATATATATATATATATATATATATTTTTTTTTACTATTTGAAAAATTATTCAATTATTTCAAAAATTAATCGATTAGTTTTTTAATTAATGGACGGTTACTTTTTTAAATAATTGATTATAATTAATTAGTTTTTAAATAATCAATTACTTTTTTAAATATATATTAAATAATTATAAATAAAAATATATATCAAATTAAAATTAAAAAAATCATTATTTATAAATTATATATATTATATAAATTATAAATATAAAGTTAAAAAATATTAAATTTAAAATTATAATCTTAAAAAAAATTTTAATTATAAAATTAATAAAAATATAACTATTTTTAATATTAAATAAATTATATATCTTATATAAGTTATATATATATATATATATAATATTTTAAAGTATAATTTATTTTCATTTCTATAATATAAAAAAATATATATATTAAAAAAGATGTTATTTAAATAATTAAAATATATTATTTAAGTAGTTAAAAAATAAATACGTACCACTCCCGTAGTGATATAGATCATACAAAACACGTTTTTAATGATTTCGAAGAAGTTTCCATGAGAAAATTAACATGCATTCTGGTGAAGACTTTGTGAAGTCTTCTGTTCTGTCAAGTCAACTCGGTGTAAGAAGTCGTCACTTGTAATAAGAGAGGGTACTTGGCATTAATGACTATCAACTGTCAAACATTTTTGTTAAATTGTTCTTTTTTTTTTTTCACATATAAACAGAAAGAAAAATCTATTCATTCATTTGATTAAAAAATATTTACATAAAACTAAAACATATAAAAATTGTAAAGAGTTTTAAAATAGTAATATTATCTAAATTTCCTAAATCGATTTTTGTCCCTATATATCTTTTCGTTTGGAACTTTAGATCTTGTAAAAATTTATTTCTAATTTTTTTTATTAAATAAATTTTATTCACTATTAATATATTAACCACAAATATTACATTTATGTAAGTGATAATAGTGTCAATTACTTATTCGTATACTACATTATTACATATTATTATTTTCATGGATACGTATACGTTAATATTTATGTTAATAAATTGAATGATAATGATAGGTAAAAATTGTTTAATTTTAGAAGAAAAAAATAGTGATTTCAATCTATAATTAAAATTTTACGTGGAAAACTCTCAACACGTAAAGAAATAACTACGATAAGACTGAAGAAAAATTTTTACTATATAAAAAAATAATTACAACTTCTTTTTAAATTAGAAAAAAAGGACAATTTTCTCTCTCTCTCTTTAAAGATCCTCGTAGTAAAAACTTTATATTCTGTCTGATTTAATTGCTCAATCACTCTTGATGGGATATGTTTTAAAACATAGGAGGAAGCCATCGTTTATAGAGAAGAAGGGACTTCTCTTGTTTTCTTCACATTTTCTTCCTATAGCCAACAAATAGCTCCCTGACTTCCACGAAAGTGGCTTTACCGCAGTTGTATTCACAGTTTTCTTATTTTTCAAGGAAATTAAAGGAGAACAAAACTAGCTCAATCTATTACTCCAATACAATGGCATGTGCAAAACTGATGAGATTGTCGAATCACAGGTTCAACACAAGAAAGTTTCACGGCACTGCCAAGAGAATGAGCTCAAATTGGAGAGATGTTATGAAGAAAGAGTTAGAAAGTGGAAACAGTGGAAAGCAAGAAGAAACACACCATGCAGTTTGCATATACAGAGTCCCATCTAACATACGCCAGGTCGAACCCACAGCTTATATACCCAACAACATCTCCATTGGTCCTTGCCACCATGGATCACCACACTTGAGAAACATGGAGGACCTCAAGAAAAGGTTCTATCGTCGCCTCTTCAACAATGATGCAAATGGAGCCAAACTAGACGAGGCTTTTAAGTTCCTGGAGGAACAAGATCCGTACGTTCGAAGATGTTACGACAGGGACATCAAATTGAGCAGTGACAAATTTCGACAAATGTTGCTAGTTGATGGTTCTTTCATTATTCAGCTCTTGAGGGACATATCGACAAGTGAAATCCGAAAAGTCCCTTGTCTCAGCCCATGGATGTTGCCCATCATTCGTCGCGAGATGATAATGCTTGAAAACCAGCTTCCCATGTTTGTTTTGAGCAAGTTGTTTGACTTAACTAGTGTTGTTTCTGCTCCTTCGGGGCCATGTATGAGTCTCCAAGAGCTTGCTCTTCGATTCTTTTACCCTTTGCTGCAGGTGGATTCTGATAATTTTATAGATTGTGAGAAAGCTGAGGAGTTAAGAGGGCTTCACTTTCTAGATCTTCTTAGGTCAAGCATTAGGCCAAAACTGAAGGAAGAAAAACCGAGAAAATCCGAACATGACATGATTCGCTCTGTAACCGAGTTGATGGAGGCTGGTGTGAAAATAAAAGCAGATGAGAATAAACACTTGCTTGACATAAGCTTCGGGAAAAAATGGGGAATTCTAACAAGAGAACTCACTATTCCTCCTTTGTACATCAATGACCACAAAGGCACTGTGTTTCGTAACATAGTTGCATTTGAGAACTGTCACAAGGATTGCGAACCTGATGTGACAACCTACTTGTTTTTCTTCAATGGACTCGTCAACTCTGCTGTTGATGTCTCTCTTCTTCATTACAAAGGGGTGCTTCACCATTCTCTTGGCAACGACAAAACCGTGTCTGAACTAATCAACAACATCACCAAAGAAATTATTCGGGACAAAAATGAGTCGTACTTGTACAAAGTGGTCAATGAAGCCAACTCCTACTTTGCCTCCTTCTATGCAAGAAAAAGAGCTTCCTTAGTGCATCACTATTTAACCAGCTGGGTGGTGGGGGTCTCAACTCTTGGTGCGTCGTTGGGGCTTTTGTTCACTTTCATTCAGACTGTGTGTGCATTTTCAGATTCGTTAAAAGCCTTTGAAAACCAAAGCTTTGGATCTGTCTCTGTAGATGTTTTTCGTATACCAGTTCTTGGTATTTCTACAACTAGTAGTGAAAGTCAAAATAGTACGACAGAACATGCTGCAACAAAATTAGACAGGTGAACAAATCAACTGTTTATGTCTTTGAAGATGTTTTTTTATTAGATTTATCCTATATATATATATATATATATATATATATATATATATATATATATATATATATATACATTCCTAACACAAGCACACTCTCAGATGAAAACATTGAAGTAATTTTTGTTGCATATTATACTTTGTTGTATATAGAAGTAATTTTCATTTCTAAAGATGGTATTTGTGTTATCATATTATCATTGTGTTAGTTTAAGATTGGCAATAAGAGTAGATCAAGTAAAAAAAAGCTGTTTTGGTATAAAGAAACATTAAACAAGGTCATCTTGAAAAGGAACAAGTAGTTATTAAAAAAAATCCGGGGTGGTAAAAATAAATTCAACTCATCGAAAATTGAGGCTTTACAGTGTATAATGTGCTCTATTCTTAAGTATTGTTAAGGCAAAAGGACTACAGGAAAATGTTACAAAAAATATTCTTCATTCTTGTACTACTAAACAATAGAGGATGTGAAAATATAGTCTGATAACGTATCTAAGCAACAAATTTTACTTAAATATCATGCATCCATTTTTAATGTAAAAAATGAAGAAAATGTCCATTTTCATTTATAACGCATACCAAAATCAACCAAACCCAAATTTGTACCCTCAGTTTTAAGTATATTATTAAGTATTTCCAGAACATGAGCATTTAGAACAATTATGTAGAGGCAGAGTTAGCTGGCCATAAACCAAGACTTCGAACCAAAATTGTGTTTATCTAATTACCTCAACAAGCAAATACACCATGTCCTCACTACTACAAAATATATTTTCTACGTCGTCATTTAACGTCTGTTATAGCTGAGACGACGTAAAAAGTACTTTCCATGTCGGTTCCCAGATGAACCGACGTTGAAAGTTGAATATTAAACATATTCTACGTCGGTTTCCATATGAACCGACGTTGAAAGTCTTTTTTTTTTCCACTTATTGACACTTTCCACGTCGGTTCCCATATCAACCGACGTGGAAAGTCTTTTTTTTTTCACCCAAAAATTCACTTAAATTTGAAAATTCTCACTGACAGAATTCAAACTCAAGATTTTAGAATTGAAAACTAATACTCTAACCACTAAACTATTATAATTTTCTAATAATAACTTACAAATAAATTATATTTATATACAAATAAATATATATCCATGTGAATATATATTTATTTGTATATATTTTCTAGAAAGTATTTTTATTTTTTTTCAGCTAAAAATTCACTTAAGTTAATGAATTGTCACTAACAACATTTGAAACCAGTATTTTAGGGTTGAAAGTTAATATCCTAACTACTAAACTACTATAATTTTTTAATAATAACTTACAAATAAATTATATTGGTATTTTTCGATCGAGGGAGGAAAGTGTGATTGACTCTTGCTTGAGTGAAAATATGTTAAAGCTCACGAAAATTCACTCACTCAAGTCTCGCTTGAGCGAAAATTGGTATTTTTCGCTTGAGAGCGAATAACGCGTTTCCCAAATTTATTTTATATCATTATATAAATAAAATTATAAAGATTATATTCTGTCATTAAATTACAAACTCATATAAAGATACATGCTCACAAATTTAACATCAAATTTTGAAAACCCACTTGACACACACTTTCACTTTCAAGTGTGTCCTCACATCCAACATATAAATATATAACTATATAAATATATCAAAATATATAAATATATTTGTATTTATATATTTATATATTTACACTGATATATATTTATTTGTATATAAATATAATTTATTTGTAAGTTATTATCGGAAAATTCTAGTAGTTTAGTGGTTGAAGTATCGACCTCCAACTCTAAAGTACTCGGGTTTAAATCCTGCTAATGACAATTCTCTTAAAAAATTAATAAACCTTTAAAAAAATAATATAAAGAGAGTTTTTAATAAAAATTATTAATTTAAAAAATCATACTTTCAACGTCGGTTGACGTTGAAGGCTTTATTTGTAGTAGTGCCTTCTTAGGTTTTGTTAACTAAAATTAATAATCAATTTTAGACGTTTGAATAGTTTTAGAATGGTTTGAAACCTGTTATTATTAGGACCATTATTATAGAACGTTTAGAGAGTGAGTGATGATAGTAAGGAGCATTGTTGTCGAACTCTTTAGTTTCTAGAAAGTAAATGTTTGACGTAACAAAAAGTTTATAGGAGTGTTTAAATACAAATATGTAATCCTGATTTTATAATATAACAAATAATAAGTAAAAGTAAAGTTTATAAGTTTTTTTTTTAATTCTTTGTTATCAAATTGGTATCGAGCTCTTAAGGGAGAGTTTTGTTCCTCAGGAGAGTTTTGGTTTTTTGGGTTGTTTATGAGAAGAACTAGAGTTCTTTAGAAGTGGGAGAACCGAGGGTTTCTTAGGGAGACATAAAGTTTTAATGTTGAGTGTTTAAAAAGTAAGATGACTAATCTAATAAACGCTATTGTAGTTATGTCCAGATTGACAGAGGATGTCAATTATAATAAATGAAGTGTTCAGATGAAGGTTCTTCTCAAATCCCAAGATGTTTGGAAGATGGTAGAGGAAGATTTTGAAAAACTTGAGACCACGAAAGGATTTACGATCAATGAATTCAGGGAGTTAGGGATAAAATGTGAGAAAGACAGTGCATCTTTGTTTTTTCTGTTTCGAGCTGTAGAAGATTTCGACTTTGAGAAGATTAAAGGAGCCACATCGGCATTCGATGCATGAGACGTGTTAAAGGAGCATGAGAAAGATGATCAAGTCACTTACATTTGGCGTCAGACACTAGGAAGTGAGTTGAAGAGCATGAAGATGAAGGAGTCAGAAAAAGTTTTGAAATATGTCTTACGTGTTGAAAATGTGGCAAAACAACTTAATCAGAATGGAAAGGAATGGGACAGTTGATGACCTAGTCGGTTCAATTCAATATGTGCTTTATATTCCATATCTAAATAGTAATCTTTTGAGTAAGAGACAGTTGATGGAGAGAGGATACTCAATTTTCATAAAAGATCGAGCACTCTTATTGAAGAACAAGTTTGGAAGGTTGTTGACTTGAGCAGAGATGGAGAAAAATAAAATGTTCAAGTTGGAGCTGAGAAACATTCAGGAGAGGAGTATAAGATTAGATGACACATTGAAGGTAAATCACCGATCTGCTCACATGCATTTTTGTGGTTTAACAGAGTTGGTTCATGATGAGAATCATGATATTGTCCTAGTTGGTGATGCAAGTGAAAGAGACCGAGACCAAATAAGGCAAGTTGTTGCACCTACAATTGTTGCTAAATCGAATTAGACCGAGTTGATGAGCCACCAACTGTTGTAAGATCAGAAACCGAGAAGGAAGAGATAACCATGAAAAACGAGTTGCTCGGATTTTCGAGCATAAAGGGGAAATTTTTTGAAGGTGTGATGCTCAAAAATTCTGAGTATGAAGGAGAGAGTTTTCAGAGGAGTGGTCGGTATGTAGGTAAGTACCCCACTTAAGAGAGATTGCAGAGGTGTAATCGGTAATAAGACGAGGACCCCACTTTAAAGAAAAGTCAAAGAGAAGATAAGAGTTGTTATATATAAGAATGGTCGAGTTAGAGAATGCTATGGTCGACCTATTGACGTGAAGCAGGTGTTTAAGAAAGATGAAAGATATGACAGTTGTTGATGTGAAACAGGTATCCAAGAAGGATGAAAAGTGGTCGGACAATTACCGAGTTGTGAGGTATTTGGACAATGATTGGTGCGGAGATGTGGATGATCAACATAAAGGATGGAAGGAATTCAAAGTGTTCGAGAATAAGAAGAGACGTAGTCAGCTAGTAGGAAACATGAAAGTTTGAAGTCTGAAATGTTTTGAAGGACAAGAAGTTTTGAAGTCGATAATTGGTGATCAGAACCAAGTTGATCTTGAAGTGTTGAAGTTGAAGGTTAGTCCGAAGTTGGGAGGTTCGGATGAGGGTTGATCTCAAGTTTTTTTTCTTTAATGCAGAGAATTAATTTTACGAGGGAGTTTTGTTAAGTAAAATTAATAATAAAATTAATAATCGGTTTTAGAACATTTGGATAGTTTTAGAACGAAATTTTACTATTAGGTAGGAAAATTTGTTACAAAATTTATTTTTCACTAATTTGTAGCTAATTAACAATGAAATAGTAAATGAACAAGATTATAGTTAATTTGCAGTAAAATAACTAGAAAACTAATATTTTTGTAGTTATTCCCTCACTCAATAGAAAAACAATTTTTTGTAGCTATTTCCTCATTCAATAGAAAAATAATTTAACTAGGAAAATTTTTGTCATTAATCCCTCGTTATAAATATTAGTTATGTAAACTATATTATTATCACATATGAACACTACAAGAAAAAAGCCTATTACCTACGGAATAATACCTACGGGTACAAATCCGTAGGTAAATTTTACATTACCTACGGATTTTACCTACAAAAGTATATTCGTACATAAATTATCTATTACCTACGGAATTTACCTACGGATGGGATGATTATGCATTACCTACGGATGTAGGAGGTAGGTAATGTTTTTTTACTACTTTACCTACTCATTTACCTACGGATGCTAAATAAAAAAAAGAAAAAAGAAAAAACCCTCGCTCACTAGTGGAAAATAGCTTTCTATGACTGGCTTTTTATCACTGGTCGTAGTCCACCCGTCATAGTATGTGGCGCGGTGGCATGTATGTAATAAAATCATAAACTTTCTATGTCGGGTAAGTTTTAACCGACATAGTAAGTGGAAAGGTCACTTTACTTTCTACGTCGGTTAAGATTTACCCGACATAGAAAGTAAACTTTCTATGTCGGGTAACATTTAACCGACATAGAAAGTGAACTTTCTATGTCGGGTAAAATTTAACCGACATAGAAAATGTCTTTGATGACGGGTGTTAGAGCAACCGACATAGTATCTTCTCGTTTTCTCCTTCCCTCCATTTCATTTCATCACTTCCCCCATAGCAGAGCTCCCCGTACGTTTCT